GGTAGTCCAGCAAAACTCCTCCCCTAGCTCCTCCCCCTGCCCAGGTGCAGTATAAAAGGCCTCAGCTGGCTCAGTTTAGCCTCTTGCTGGTCCCTGGTGGTGGTTGCCTGCTGAAGGTGGTGAGTAGGGTCCCCATTTTGTGTGTTTCCTGGTTTATAGTTGTCCCCCCAACTAACATGTGCCTTTTTGTGTTTCAGGCTCACCTGTTGCTGTTCTGTTTTGTGTTTTTGTTAGGTTTGCCTTTTCTTTAGTTTATTTATTAAGTTTGTTTACTTTTAAATATATTTCTATTTTGCTTGAGTGTATGTTTTGAGATTGTTTAATTATCAATGGGGTTGTTGGTTTTTGTTAACTTTTGATTCTTTGTTATAGCAGTGCCTTATCGTTTTGTTTCCTTGCTTTTTGGTGTGGCCTGGGTGTCCTCAGGTGGGCGGCTAGACACCGTGGTGGAACCTCACTCCCGTTGCATGCAAGTAGGCACTGGGGCTCTTTTAGTGCATGTTTTTTTTGTAGTGTTGCCCCCCAGCCTAGTGACACGGGGTACTTTACCAGTAGTCTGCCCCCACTAAGGCCCCAGCCCACTGATTTGAGTTTATCATATGTATTTCATTAGTTTTAGCACTGTTTTATTTTAGATAATTTTTTTTTTTTTTTTTTTTAATAAAGATTTCTTCTATTTTACCTACTGTCTCTGCCTCATCTGTTTCGAACCAGTGCCCTTTCAAAGAATTTGGTTTTCATATCCTGGGGTGCTAGTCCCCAGGTGGCGTTGTCGGTCCCTAAGTTTGTTCCTTCTCTTAGTTATCTTTAGTTCCCCCTCCTTATTTACAAATACATTTTCACTCCTCGCCACACAGATACACAGATCTACTTTTCTGCGAAACCCAATAATCTGACTCAACTGTCCTCTCTCCATGAGTGTTTAGCTGCCACCAAAGACTGGATGGCTCTTAATTTTCTCCACTTAAATCTGGATAAAACTGAAATCCTTTTATTTAGATAAATTTCTCACTACAGTTGATCAGTTTATTGGACCATTATGGACAAATATCAAACCCACTGCTAAGAATCTGGGTATCATCTTCAACCAGTATGACGTTTGACCTTCATGTTACAAAACTTGTCCAGTCCTGTTTCCTGCAGCTACGAAATATAGCAAAAATCAAAAGATTCCTGTCCTCCAGTGATCTGGAACAACTAATTCATAGCTTCATTTTCTCCTGTCTAGATTACTGTAACTTCCTCAACACGTGCCTCAGTCAGGCTTCGTTAAACCGATTACAGTTAGTCCAAAATGCAGCTGCCAGACTTTTAACCAGAGCCAGCCGTCGGTCCCACATTACTCCGGTTCTCGCGTCCCTTCATTGGCTTCCTAGATTTAGAATCAATTATAAGCCCTTACTGATTACATATAAGGCACTTCATGACCTTGCCCTAGTAGTTTCCTCATTCCACTCCTCGGCCACTCCACTCCTCAAATCTCGGCCTTTTATCCATTCCACACTCTAACTGTAAAACTAAAGGTGACCGTGCCTTTGCCGTCTTAGCCCCAACATTGTGGAATAGTCTTACCCATTCACTGAATCTGTGGACAGTTTTAAGCGGCTGCTCAAAACCCTCCTCTACAGGAAAGTCTTTTTATAGATCTCGTTTGTTTCTCATCTGTCGTCTCTTGTTTTATCTTTGTTTTTTGTGTGTTATGTTTATTTGTCATTTGGAAAGCACTTTGGATCTCTGTCAAAAAGGTGCTATATAAAGTTTTACTTACTTACTCCGTGGAAATGCTTTGGCCTGGCTGACAGCAGTAATATAATGTAGTGGATAATCGTCCCCAGGAGCAAAAAAGGGAGACAGCACTGCAATCTCCCACACTTGGCTGAAGATGGATGACGTTCCTGAAGTTTGCAGAGTTCTTTAGATCTGATAAAAAGTAATAAGATGAAAGATAATAAAAGTATTTTGGATACTGAAGTGGTTGAGCGGTTAGGTATTTCCACAGTATATTTTAATTCAATTTCAATTTTATTTGTATAGCGCCAATTCATAACAGAAGTTATCTCAGGACACTTTTCAAATAGAGCAGGTCTAGACCGAACTCCTTAGAACATTATTTACAGAGACCCAACAGTACCACCATGAGCAAGACCTTGGAGACAAGGGCAAGGAAAAACTGCCTGTTAAAAGGCAGAAACCTAGGACAGATCCTCCGGCTCTAGGTGGGTGGTCGTCTGTCTCGACCAGTTGGAGGGAGAGAGAGAGAGAGAGAGAGAGGTTATATTGGCAATGGCAGTTAAGCAGGACCATGGTAGGAGGCTCCACCAGGATCCATGAGAACCTGCGAGACGAGAAAGCACAAGAACTCCGGGGAAGAAGTGAAGTTAGTAACATGCATTAATGGGACATGAATGAGTGCAGAGGAAGAGAGGAGCTCAGTGCACCATGGGAAATCCCCACATAGTCTAAGCCTATAGCAGCATAACTAAGGGATGGTTCAGGACTCACCTGATCCAGCCCTAACTATAAGCTTTATCAAAGAGGAATGTCTTAAGCCTACTCTTGAATGTGGAGAGGGTGTCTGTGTAACCCCTATCTGCACCTGTCACTCTAGGACAGTGCTAAATATCAAATAGGAAAATGAGGGTTGACTTTAACTGTAGATACGATGAGGAGACTGCCTAGGAGATTACCTGCCTAATTGTTGAATTAGACCTGCAATATTTACCCCAAATAACACACTCGACTGACTGACCATTTTAAAGGAGGTATATTCAACCCAGTAAAGATCCTTCACAGCACAATATCTCAACAAGGTAAGTAAATTAAAGTGAATACTGCATTATAATACTTCAGTACCTATATCATCAACTCACAGTTGGATTCACAATACACAGTTCTTTTAAGTACATTTGTTTGATTTTAATATTTTAAAACCAAAATAAAATAATAAAAACCTCTGAGATCTCAGGTATGAAAAAGGAAATTGTCCCAAAAGTTTAAATTAATGAATAAATGAATAAAAAAATAAAAAGTAAGGGGAAATAAAAATATGAGTGCACTCAAAGTCCTACCACCCTCTTCCACAGTGAATGTCCAAGGTGAGTATTGCAATGGGAAAGATATTGATGTGGACGTGGATGACCCCTTTTCCAAAGGTGAGTAGCAACCGGGATGGAGATGCAGATGGATGACAGCAGAAGATGGTAGAGGAACCGAGGACTGAGGACCCAATCGAAGGACTCTTAAAAAAAAAACAGCTTACACAGCCAGGCAAAATAATTACTCATGTAGTCCACATAAGGTCCATCTGGATATATTTAAATAAAGTTACTGCTGTACAGTGTCCATTTTACTCTGTTTTTAAATAGTGTTTCCTTAATATACAGCTCATACTGTAACCTATTTACATTAATTTTACATAATTTTACATCACTCCAAGAACTCGACACAACTGGCCTAACACCAGCACAGCACCTAATTAGCCTGCACCAAACAGTTATCAAGCGTTTCACACACAGTAATACATTGAATAACAACACAAGATTCATAAAGCACATAGACACAGGCTTCAGACATTAATTAAAGTTTATCCCCACTGGTTTTAGTGAGAGTACTACAAGGCTCATCTTTAAGATTTTAACAGTGTGTAACACTTTGCTAGCGAGTTAGCATGCTAATGTAGCATAGCGATCATTAGTCACCGGGAAACCAATTGTCTACAACTCTAACAGTTCTACAGCGTCCGACTTTAAGTCACAGCTCGTCAATCGCCTCTTCTACATCCATTTCAACTTATCTGTCAGTTTCTGACTTCTGACTTAGTTTTACACACACACACACACACACACACACACCATGCATCAGTCCAGGGGATTGCGCAGAGATTGGTACTCAGGTAAGATGACCACTCCTATCAGTTTTTCATGCTGAAAACAGCACCTACCAACTACCACTTCAATTAAAGGTACAGTAACACATATACAGGTTGTGATTTGACTTTTGGTGCTTTCTTCTCATGGAAAATAATAATACATTTATAATTTTAAATTAGAGAGAAACATTTAGAACACAAATACATTATATACAGCTAAATTCTTAGAACAGATTAGAAATAACCTGGGGTTTAACTAACCACGGTTACATCTGCCTCCAGAACCACAACTGGAAGCTGGTTCCACAGGAGAGGAGCTTGGTAACTGAAGGCTCTGGCTCCTGTTCTACTTTTAGAGACTATAGGAACCACAAGTAGCCCAGCATTCAGAGAACGTAGTGTTCTAGAGGGGTAATAGGGTTCTATGAGCTCTTTAAGATATGAAGGGGCCTGACCATGAAGAGCTTTATAGGTGAGGAGGAGGATTTTAAATTCTATTCTACATTTTACAGGGAGCCAATGCAGAGAAGCTAGTACAGGAGAGATGTGATCTCTTTTTCTAGTTCCTGTCAGTACTCGTGCTGCAGCGTTCTGAATTAACTGGAGCATTTTAATGGACTTATTGAGGCAACCTGATAATAAAGAGTTGCAGTAATCCAGCCTTGAAGTAACAAATGCATGGATTAGTTTTTCTGCATCTGTCTGTGATAGGATGTGTCTAATTTTTGTAATATTATTTAAATGAAAGAAGGCAGTCCTAGAGGTTTGCTTTATGGGAATTAAATGACATGTCCTGATCAAAGATAACTCCAAGATTCCTGACAGTGGTGCTAGAGGCCAAGTTAATGCCATCTAGAGTAACTATATCTTTAGACAGTGAGTCTCTAACGTCTTTGGGGCCAAATACAAGAATTTCGTTTATTTATTTCGAGTTTAACATCAGGAAATTGCAGCTCAACCAGGATTTTATGTCCTTAAGACATGTTTGTAATTTAGATAATTGATTAATTTCATCGGGCTTAATCGAGAGATATAACTGTGTATCATCTGCATAGCAATGAAAGTTAATGGAGTGATTCCTAATAATGTTGCCTAAAGGGAGCATATATAGTAAATAGTATTGGTACAGAACCTTGTGGAACTCCATGACTAACTGTAGTATTTATTGAAGATTCATCGTTAACATGTACAAACTGCGAACAATCTGATAAGTATGACTTAAACCAGCTTAGTGCGGTTCCTTTAATGCCAATTTGATGCTCAAGTCTCTGTAAAAGAATATTATGGTCAATGGTGTCAAATGCAGCACTAAGATCTAATAATACAAGTACAGAGACAAGTCCATTGTCGGAAGCAATCAAAAGGTCATTATTAACTTTAACCAGAGATGTCTCTGTGCTGTGATGAACTCTAAATCCTGACTGAAAATCCTCAAATAAACTATTGTTATTTAGAAAGTCACACAACTCTTTGACAACTACTTTCTCCAGAATCTTAGAGAGGAAGGAGAGGTTAGAAATCGGTCTATAGTTGGCTAAAACCCCTGGGTCAAGAGTGGGCTTTTTAAGAAGGGGTTTAATTACAGCTACTTTAAAGGACTGTGGTACATATCCTGATAATAAAGAAAGATTAATCATATCCAGTAAAGAAGTGCCAATTAAGGGAACAACTTCTTTAAGCAGCCTAGTTGGGATCGGGTCTAACAGACAGGTCGATGGCTTCGATGAAGAAATTATTGAAGTTAACTGATGAAGATCAATAGCAGAAAAACAGTCTAAATATACATCTGAGTTTACATTAGTTGAAGTTCCCAAACTTGGAGAGCGAGTAATACCTGTTAAGGGCATTTGGTAACTAATTTTCTCTCTAATAGTAATAATTTTATTATCAAAGAAGCTCATGAAGTCATTGCTACTTAAGTTTATGGGGATATGTGGCTCAATAGAGCTGTGACTCTAGAAGAGGAACCTAGGGTTGTTCTTATTTTCTTCTATTAGTGCTGAATAATAGGCTCCTCTGGCATTACGGAGGGCCTTTCTATAAGTTTTAAGATTATTTTGCCAAATTGAGCGATATTATATCTGTCCGTCTACTTCGCCCATTGGTGCTGGTTTCTTTTTTGTGGACAAGAAGGACAAAACCGTCAACCTGTACATCGACTTCACAGGACTAAGCAACATAACTGTAAAAAACAACTACCCTTTCTGTCTCATTAACTCTGTCTTTCATACTCTTCAGGTAGCAACTCTGTTCACCAAGATCTATGTCCGCATTGCTTGTCATCTGGTCCAGATGCATCAGGAGAATGAATGGAAAACAGCTTTTAACAAACCTTTGGTACATTGGGAGTAGCTGGTGATGCCATTTGGACTCACCAATGCCCCAGCCATCTTCCAGGTCCTGGTAAACAATGTTCTATAGGACATTTTGAACCTTACTAAACCATCTGGATGATATTCTGATTCCAAAGACCACCAAGCCTTTCTTGGTTACATGATCGCCAAAAGACAAGTAAAGATGGATCGAGCAAAGGTCAAAACCATCCAGGAATGAGGCATGGAATGGGGTTGTTAATTTATATAGGAAATCCATCCCTAACTACAGTCCCATTGCAACCCCACTAATAGCTCTGACTTCCACCTCCAGACACTTCCGGTGAACCGCTGCGGCAGAGACAGTATTCTAGGATCCTCAAACCCAGTTCAAATCTGCACCTATCCTCATTCAACTGGACACTTGAAAACATTGTTTTTTGTTAAGGTGGACACCTCAGACATTTAGGTGGGGGCAGTCCTTTCACAACGCTCCTCGGATGATGGTAATTTTCATCCTTGTGCCTTTTTGTCTCATGTTTCTCCACTGCAGAAAGGAACTATGATGAATCAGGAGCTCCAGGCAGACTTGGATAATACCCCCAGGGTCATATGTTTTTTCCCATTGTCATTAAATGTTTTGTTCTTCAGTGGGCCCATTCTTCTATGCTGGCTTTTCCTGGTATGGACCGTAGTCTGGTCTTTTATCAGGCATTTTTAGTGGACACAAGACTTCCAACTAAACCAGTTTTGGTTTGCTGCACCCACTGCCCATTCCTTGTCGTCCTGTGTGAAACCAACTTACGTTACCTGAGTTTCATTAATTCAATTTTCAATTCAATTTTATTTGTATAGCATCAATTCATAACAGAAGTTATCTCAGGACACTTTTCAAATAGAGCAGGTCTAGACCGAACTCCTTATAACATTATTTACAGAGACCCAACAGTACCACCATGAGCAAGACCTTGGCGACAGCAGTAAGGAAAAACATCCTTTTAAGAGGCAGAAACCTTGGACAGACCCTTTGGCTCTAGGTGGGTGGTTGTCTGTCTCGACTGGTTGGGGTGAGAGAGAGCGAGAGACACACAGAGAGAGAGAGAGAGAGAGAGAGAGACAGAGAGAGAGACAGACATACAGACAGACAGAGGTGAAAAGCAACAACAGAAGTAACAACAACACTAATAGTAGTGACTGATGATGATGAACATGAAGATGATGGGGGACAATGAGCAGTGATTATAGTAATAATACTTACTGTAGTAGTAATAATAATAGTAATAATAATAACAATAATATCAGTGATATTACTTACATTACATATGTAATATAACTTACCTTACTTGCAGTATGTTATGTTACATACTTATCTTAACCCAAACCACAAAAAGAATAAGATATATTTATTAGCATTTTATATTCTCTCATGAAACATTTAATGTTATATTATAAATGTAACAAAACCTACCTATTATTATTGTTACATATTTTATGAATGTTGCTTTGTTATTTGTTATTGCTACCATAATCATAATCATGACAAAGTTTGGTGACTTGTTATTGTATTGGTTATATTGTATAAACTTTTTTCACAAATATATTTTCATCTCTATATTCCTTTTAAATAAAATGTGACAAAACATTTGTGGAATGTGAATAACAATAATATAACAGAAACAATATAAATATCAGTAACAATAACCCTAATAATAATAATAATTAATATATAATAATAACCCCTTTTCCTTGAGGAACCTTTTTAAAGGCTCTTCAACTACTAAAGGTGGAGATTAAGAATTTAAATAATCTCCTTGTAGCGAATGAAAGACAATTCAAACCACATTCATGTAGAAATGTATTTATTAGTTCTTAATAATAATATTTACATTTAATAAACATTATTATTGCCATCAAAACATCCATCTTTTTCATATTATTAAGGTTAGAAAATATATATTACATCATTTCTGAAGGTAGTTTACATTTTACCAAAGACAATGCTTTTCCATAAGCCACGTATTTTAGACATTTGCAGTCCATAAAGTACAGGGTTAAAGAGTGGTTGGCAAATGGCAAAGTATAATGACAAAAAAATGCGCAACATGTTTGTTACACTGTTCATAATAAATCTGGCCTGCACAACTTCAAAAAAACAACCAAAAGAAAAATTCAGGAGAGAAGCAATGTGAGGTGCGCAGGTACTGACAGCTTTTTGTCTGGTCTGTTTGGAACCAGAAAAACACACTTTAAGAATCATCATGTAAGTGTAAAGAATAAGAGATAGAGGACACAAGATTGCGAGAAAAGTGACAATGAGTCCGTAGATGTTATTAACTGTTGTGTCAGAGCATGCCAGTTTGACAATGGAGTAGTTGTCACAGTAAACTTTGTTAATGATGTTCCCACACAGCTGTAAAGGTGCACTCAAAGATACCAGGACAACAATTGAAAGAAGAGGGAATAACCAACTTAGTGCAATAAGCATGGCAACTTTGTTGGATGTCATACGTGTGTTATATTGTAGAGGAAAACAAATAGCGAGATATCGGTCATAAGACGTGACGGCTAAATTGGCAAATTCTACACTGCTGTAAGAGTGCAAACAGTAAATCTGCAGGAAACAAAATGAAGCAGAAACAGTGTGAATGTCAGAGAGAATCTGAACCAGAAGCATTGGAAACAACCCTGTACTACCATACAGTTCATTTACAAACAGGCTGCACAGAAATATGTACATAGGTTCATGTAAGCTTCTGTTCATACAGATAATCACAATGAGCAAAACATTGGTACAAAGAGTTAAAATATATAATAACATAACAATCATGAAAAATAAATATCTGAAAATTCCAGTGTCAAAGTAGTAAGAAAGTGTGAAATATGAAAATTGTGTAGAGTTAACCATGATCCTCCAGTTAATACAGGCCCAGGAAGGACTACTTTTGTTAATAACTGTACATTATGTTGCAGGTTTTGCAATGTGTCAATTTTTTACTTACTTTACTTACTGTCTGCTAGCAGTTAAGAAATTACTTTCCATAGGAAATTGCAAATCAACTAGGATTGAAAGTCAGTATAATGCCATGCTGAGAGATTACAGAACTGCTGTACTGAGGTAGTCCCTACTCACTGAGATGAAACTCTGCTTCTGCTGCTTTTAAACCTTTCACAGCAACAGTCATGACGTAAGACTGTTGTCAGCAAAATAAGAAAGATTTCAATCTACTAACAATTAGTAATATTGAAGAGATACGTTTTTTAGATAGACTGCCTTTGTCAAAACTGCCATCAGCCAAGGAAATGTCAGACCTGCTGATGAGGGAGGTTTTCTGATTTCTTGGCCTTCCAAATTACATTGTGTCCATGGTCCCCAATTCACCTCTGCTGTCTGGAAAGTCTTCTGCTCTGTCATTGGTGCCACCTGTAGTTTATTGGATTCAAGTGATAGTAATGATTTGAAGTAAATTCAATTCAGTTTTATTTTTTATAGCCCTAATTCATAACAAAAAGTCTCTCAGGACTCTTTTCAAATAGAGTGGGTCTAGATCTACTTCTTCTTGTCAGTACTGTAGCCAGAAGAGTCACAGCTCTATTGAGCCAGGTAGTCCTATAGCTTTCAATAGCAAAGACTTCATGTGTTTCTTTAATGATTAAATTGTTACTATTACATACAAAATTAATCTCGGCCTGCTCTCAACAGGTACAGATGTCTCTTTAAACACAGGAATTTTAACAGCTGTAAACCCAGATATATGACTGCTTTTCTGCTATCATCTGCATCAATTACCTTGAATCATTTTCCTCTCCAAGATGTTTGGAACAACCTACCTGCTGAGTTCCTTCAAAAACTGTGTGCAAGTGTACTTAGAAGAATTGATGCTGTTCTGAAGGCAAAGGGTGGTCACACCAACTATTGATCCTCTATATTTGATTTAGATTTCTCTTTTGTTCATTCACTGGAGGTCTGTACTGTCTATTTGATATTAAAGTAATAGTTATCTTATTAATAACTTTATAGACCAATTATTTGACACTAATTATAAGACAGTTAATTTGTCCATTTGACAATAATAAGTTGCAGAGCACAGAAAAGTAAGGGCAGAGATCAGTGCTGTTGATGTGGATCAAATGTAATAGTAACAAAGTAGTGTTAATAAGATAATTAACTTTCATTTCAGTTTTATTGAATCCCAATAATTTCACACAATTTGTTTTTTCAGAGACAGTTGATAAAGTTCTGATTGAGACCATCTGGCCATATAACCACAGTACTGTAGATCCTGGGCAGAGGTCAGTGCTGTTGGGCAGAGGTCTGTATTGTCATCCGTTAGATTAGACGTCCTACATTTCAGCAAAGACCAGACTTTTACCTATGATACGGATCTTGGACATATTCAGTCCATACATCACAGGGTTGAAAAGGGCCTGACTGTTATGGTTTATTATGCCTTTGTTGTGCTTTTGTGTTTGCTGTTCTTTTGTCCTCTCTCTGTTCCCCCTACCCTTTCTGTTTTCTTGCAGAGCTTGTGTGGAAGGGGGTGTGGCTGGCTTCCTCCTGTTGGCACACCTGTTTTCACTCAGCCCATTCCCTTCACCTCATTAGCCCAGTCTCCACTCCTGCTCGCTGTCAGAAGATTCCATGCTCCAACCCGGCATGCTGTTCACCTACTTTCCCGAGTCTAGTTGCTGAAGACATCCTCCTGCCAGCCAGCTCCCTGCCTCAACTGCCCGCTTCAGTTCCGGTTTTTGTTTTTGGACTTCTATTAAAATATCTTCAGTTCCCACTCACCAGAGAGTGTGTCTTTGCTTTGGGGTCCAAGTCACAAGTGAACTTAACACTGACATGTAAGAAAGTATAATGATAAAAATGTTTACAACATGTTGGATATATTGTTCATATTAAACCTACACTGTAATATTTCAAAGAAACAACCAAAAGAAAAGTCCCAGAGAGAAGCGAGGTGAGGTGTGCAGACAGCCTTTTGTCTGGTCTGTTTGGAACCAGAAAAACAAACTTTAGGGATCATCATCATGTAAGTGTAAAAGGTCAGAGATACAGGACATAAGCTTGTGAGAGAAGTGGCAACAAGTTCAATTCAATTCAATTCAACTTTATTTGTATAGCGCCAATTCATAACAGAAGTTATCTAAGGACACTTTTCAAATAGAGCAGGTCTAGACCGAATTCTTTAAAACATTATACATCCAATGTTATTGACTGTTGTGTATTAACACACTTCCTAAAATGTGTACTTAAAGCCCCATGATGTAACTTTTTGTATAATATCAACAGCTTCAAAATCATGTTGACATTGCAGTGGCTGTAACAGGGTGAAGTGTTCCTCTGTACTCCTGTTCTTACAGTATGTAACTTTGGTCTACAGGTTGCGATAACTGCATAACACACTAAGTCACACACCACCAACTATGTCAGTGATTTTGGTGAAACTGGATCAAATCCTTATGGAGACATTTTTTTCTAGTTTTCACTCTGATGATTGTGTGTTTTTCTATATTTATACAATACATTCACTTACTGAAAGACTGGCCTAAACCATAGTCATTAGACTATGAGCTCTGACAGCAGAATATTAATATTCTTATCTCACACTGTGTTGAGAGATTAAATAATATTCATAATCAATTTCCCACTGAATTCTGTATCAGGTTTACCTTTTCCAAATTCTATTCAAATTCATTACTGTGATTTTATTTCATTACACCACATTGCATATTGCCGCTGTCAGGTGGAAACCTTTTCTGTCCAAAACAACTGTGTCATAAAGGTTGGTATTGTTGGTTTTAAACCTTTTCATTGCTTAAATATTTGTAAAACCCACAGGCAGGTGTAAACATTGACCAACAGCATTAATTTATAAAAAAAATAATTAAAATGACAAAATATGAAGATACAAGGTTTCCACCGACATTGATGATATTATTCAATGACAGACACTGAGGAATTTTTACATTTTATGAGTAAATATTTCAACGAAAGAGATTATAAGTGATTTACATCTTTATTTCAGCATCAGATCTTTGTGACCAGTCGACGTTTTATAACAGCAGAGATTTTTACATGTATTTCGTATTTTGGACATTTGCATTCCATACATGATAGGATTCAGAAGTGGTTGAAGTATCACAAAGTACAGTGAGAGAATGATTCGTAGCACACTGGGTACACTGCTCATATCAAATCTACTCTGAACTATTTCAAACACACAGCCAAAAGAAAAGTTTATGAGAGACACAAGGTGAGGTGTGCAGGTACTGACAGATTTCTGTCTGGTCTGTCTGGAACCAGAAAAACAGATTTTGAGAATTTTCATGTAAGAGAAAAGGATTGGGAGCAGAGGGATTACAATGGAGAGAAAAACCCCAAACAGCCCATGAATGTTGTTCACTTTAGTGTCAGAACATGCCAACCTGACAACGAGGTAATTACGGCAGTATAAACTGTTAATGCTGTTTCCACACAATGTCAGACGGATGTTTAAAGATATACTGATGACACATCTGACAAAAGAGTACAACCATATCAAACCGATACAGATAAACACATTGTTCAATGTCATATATGTGTTATATTGCAGAGGACAACAGATAGCGAGATATCTGTCGTAAGATATAGCAGCTAAGTTACATAATTCTATATTTGCATAAGAATACAAACAGAAAATCTGCAGGAAACAAAAGGGAACAGAAACAGTGTGAATGTCAGAGAGAATCTGAACCAGAAGCATTGGAAACAACCCTGTACTACCATACAGTTCATTTACAAACAGGCTGCACAGAAATATGTACATAGGTTCATGTAAGCTTCTGTTCATACAGATAATCACAATGAGAGATGTGTTGACAACAACAATAACAATGTAAATAAAAGCAGTTACCATAAAATACAAGTATCTTAAGTGTCCAAGATGCACATAAGCTTCAAGAATTAAATAAGATAAAGTTGATAATGTTGAATTCGACATTATTCTGTAAAAATGAATCCTAAATTAGCCTCAAACACGTTTAAAAAAACAGTGACAATGTAATATTTCTTAAGACTGACTCAGTGGCTTTTTCCTCAAAACAAGACAAACTTACAATTCACTCCCCTCCGTCACAGGACCTGTAAATGATCACATCACACACATTTGTCTGCTGCACTGCAGACTATTGCTTTATACCCTCTTTCAGACCAGGAGAATATCCACAAGCCACCCCCACCTTATCCTCAAAGCCCAATTCCTGATTATTGACTGACAAGTTTAAGTTCCTGCATCAGCAAGCTCAAACAAACAAAACAATATTGAAATACCTCTAAAACATCCTCAGTGACGGAGGTTTACGAGGATTTACAGAGGGTTTTTACCTACCACTGTTTGTAACAGAGCCAGGGGAGGGGGGTAATACTCCCAGATTAGAGTCATAAATTTGCTAGAAAAAAGTCTGAGATTAAAGTCACAAATGTTCTATAACCTGGTTTTATAACCTTGTAGTCTCCTGCATCTATACACTGCCTCTCTTTTCCCTCTCCTCCTGACTATGTACTTTATTTGGCTGCTTCCACAAACATTATGTTGTGTTACAGTCTGTAGTGTAAAACGTTTAAAATAAAGGGAGATTTTGCATGCAGAAATCTTTACCGTCAGTTTGGACACATTGAGCTGTTGTCATCCTACACAGTGTAAAATGTTCTAAAATCAGTGTAAAATGTTGTTAATATCCATGAAATATAAATGATCCTGGCCATTCAAATTAATGCAAAAACGATGAATGTCACACACAGTATTTATGACAGACAGCTTAGCTCTCAGCACCCCAACTGTGACTTCCAGCGTTCCAACTCCAAGTCTTTTCCTCATAAATTTGGGACTCAGAATATTGCGCCCCTACCCGGCTCCAAGTTTTTTTTAAAGCTACAATGGCCCATATACACCGTTTCAGTGATTATACATCATGTAACTGTCCTACAGAATGACACACAGGAAGGTTTTCTGATCTGACGCCTCTGTCAGCAGATACAGTCTTCCCAACTGTAATAAATCCCTGTTGAGAAATAACTCTGTAAAATGATCCAAACATGCTGTAGTTAAAAGGGTTTTTATAAAGGACCTTTTTAGGTTTTTCTCTTCAGCATTAAAATGTTCCACCGTTTTTTTTCTCCCAAGCCTAAAGAAATCTCTTCAACACACTTCTCTGTCAGATTCTAATTTCCTCCATTTATCTCTCTCCCATGAGTCTAAGATTTTCTGAATACTCGTCCCTGCCCAACAGTCTCCAGATGTATTTTGAACAAAATCTAAACTGTAAAATGAATACATTATATTGTTGGAAGCCACTGTATAAATAAATATAATCAAATAAAATGCTTTGAAAAATAAACTGGATTTGTGAATCAATCCTGTCTAACATTCACTTTTTAATGTTATATTTTATTTTCACAAGTGTCAGTATCTTTAACAAGCAAAAGTCTGAAGGCAAATAATATTTATTGTTTACATACACATTTCTGAACAAACCTAAAAAGGGTCCTTGTGACCAGTCGACATTTTATAAAAGCGGAGATTTTTACATGTATTTCGTATTTTGGACATTTGCATTCCATACATGATAGGATTCAGAAGTGGTTGAAGTATCACAAAGTACAGTGAGAGAATGATTCGTAGCACACTGGGTACACTGCTCATATCAAATCTACTCTGAACTATTTCAAACACACAGCCAAAAGAAAAGTTTATGAGAGACACAAGGTGAGGTGTGCAGGTACTGACAGCTTTCTGTCTGGTCTGTCTGGAACCAGAAAAACAGATTTTGAGAATTTTCATGTAAGAGAAAAGGATTGGGAGCAGAGGGACTACAATGGAGAGCACTATCCCAAAAAGTCCATAAATGTTGTTCACTTTGGTGTCAGAACATGCCAACTTAACAACAAGGTAGTTATTACAGTACAAACTGTTTATGATGTTTCCACAAAGTGTCAGACGGATGTTTAAAGATAAAGTAATCAGAAATTTCACACAGGAGTACAACCATACCAAAATAATTAAAATAAACACCTTGTTCAAAGTCATACGTGTGTTATATTGTAGAGGATAACAGATAGCGAGATATCTGTCATAAGACATTACAGCTAAATTAATAAATTCTACACTTCCATAAGAATACAAACAGAAAATCTGCAGGAAACAAAATGACGTAGAAACAGTGTGAATGTCAGAGAGAATCTGAACCAGAAGCATTGGAAACAACCCTGTACTACCATACAGTTCATTTACAAACAGGCTGCACAGAAATATGTACATAGGTTCATGTAAGCTTCTGTTCATACAGATAATCACAATGAGAGATGTGTTGAGAACAATAATTACAATGTATAACAATGCAGTTATCATGAAATATAAGTATCTTAAAGTTCCAATATGCAAATATGCTCCAAAAATGAAAGTTAATGAAGTTAAATTTCCCATTATTCTTTAAGGCAAAAGAGACAAAACTGTGCAAATGGCGAAAACCTCACAGACAGACTGAACTTACCACTTATCTCCTCACTGTTCACACATGATCACCTCACCTGCTGCACTACAGACTGCAGCAGCAGAACAAGAATCTCAGCAGTCCGCGTCATCATCAGTGTTCATAGCAGTCTGTCAAGGTATTGTTGACTCCTTCTGATGCTGGTGCTATTTAAACAAACAATACGTCATTCCTGCCAAGGGATCTCTCACCTCAAAACAATGTCAATAGAAGAAGTTTAATAAGGTGCTGAAGCAGCATGGGATCATGGGAGTTGCAGTCAGCTTCTCCCAGTTCCGGCTCTTCTAGACTAGGACTGGCAGCAGCAGCTCTGCAGCTGACACGCTCTAAGGCGCAGAGTAGATGCCACGCGTGGCGGGAGGAGCAGGGGATCGAACCAACAACCTTTCACTTAGCGGCAACCCGCTCTGCCTCTGAGCCACAGCCGCCCCATACACTGCTATTAAGTTAAGATATTTACAGTATGAACAGATTAGCAGTAAATTATATAGTGCGGATGTAAGTACAAGTAATTAAATTGGTTGACATTATATACAGACAGCTAGATATGAATACACTATAGGTACATATGTACAGTATAGACAGAGGCAAGTGAATACACTATAGATATATACAGTAGGACAGTATAAATATGTGTTAGGGTGTGAGGGCTTAAATAGTCCAGGTAAGTGTGCAGTAGTGTGGCGGTATAGTGGAGAGGGCATCAGTGGTGGGTAATATGGGAAGAAAAACATTTCAGTCAATGAAGGGTGGGGTGGAGGGTCCTGCCATTGTTTTTTCTGAAGTCCACAACAATCTCTTTGGTCTTCTTGGTGTTGATGGCCAGGTTGTTGTTGGCACACCAGGTCACCAGGTGCCGGACCTCTATGGAGCCAGAACGGTGACTTTAAAATTTGGCATCCAAAAAAAAAATTGGAATTGAAAACAAAACCATTACTGAAAAACGAAACATTGGCATTTAAATATTTGTATTGAAAACAGTTGTATTGGCATTGAAACAAGTATTGGCACTGAAAAAAGAAACTAATTAAAATCATTAAAATCTTAAAATCCTATTATTTTATTTTATTGGGATTTTTTTGTATTTTTCAATGACAATCTTCAGATTTTCTCTTCATGTCACTTTTTTTCAGTGACAGATTTTTTTACAATGTCAGTTTTTTTTTCAGTGTCCCTGATTTTCATTTTCAACTTTCTGTCACTGTTTTGGCGTCGAGAGGGAGGGGCAAGTAGAGCGTGGTTTGCATATAATTTGCATATTGGCATACTCAGTGGCAGACTGGCCATCGGGAGCACCGGGACATTTCCCGGTGGCCAGTCCGCCGAACCGGCGATTGCTAATGGTCGGGACTAAACGCTCGGTTCGGGTCGCGCTTGATTTTGAAATAAACAATCAGTTGTGCGGCTCATTTGGGTATCTGCCTTGCTGAAGCTCACACAGACTGGGCAGCAACGTTGGGCACAAACACACCCCCTCCTCTCTTTTTCTGAGGCTCTCTGTCACAGCACTGCAGGCAGACACACACCAAGTTGCTTGTAACTAACATAGACACAACATAATACATTATATGAATATTGAAATCCTTGTATTATATTATTTCATTTAACCTTTATTTAACCCGGTAAAATCCCATTGAGATTAAGAACATATTTGTTGTTTTATGAACATAGCCAATGCATATAAAAATGGTCAATTAGTGAACAGAAACATTTATTTTGTAGGGGAAAGAAACAGAAAAAGCTGTTTGTGGGCGCATGTGGAGCCTTTGCTTTATTATTTTACACTCTTACATCAGTTGGCACCCAACCTAACTCACTCTTGGTGTTTTGCGTTAATCGGGTGGTGGTGGCCTGGGATGGTATCAAATTCCCGGCCTGAATTATTGTCCCAGTCCACCCCACTGAAGAAGTACGTCTCTTTTCCGGAACCCGCCGTCCGCTCTGAAGCCTCGGGCATGGTGGCATTGCTAAAATGTCCTGTTCACCGGGAACTTCCAAACCGCAAGTAAGTCTGTTCATCATTCACAGCGGATGGCGGGTTCCGGAAAAGAGATGTACTTCTTCAGTCTGTTGATTTGCAAATTATATGCAAACCACGCTCTACTTGCCCCTCCCCTCAGACCCCTCCCTCTCGACGCCAAAACAGTGACAGAAAGTTGAAACTGAATATCAGTGACAAAAAAATCTGTCACTGAAAAAAAAGTGACAAAGAGAAAATCTGAAGATTGTCATTGAAAAATAAAAAAAATCCCAATAAAATAATAAGATTTTAAGATTTTAATTATTTTAATTAGTTTCTTTTTTCAGTGCCAATACTTGTTTCAATGCCAATATAACTGTTTTCAATACAAATGCTTCAATGCCAATGTTTCCTTTTTCAGTACTGGCTTTGTTTTCAATGCCAATTTTTTTTTGGATGCCAAATTTTAAAGTCACCGTTCTGGCTACATAGACCTCCTCCCTGTAATCTGACTCATCGTTGTCACTGATGAGGCCAATCACCATTGTGACAGTCGTGGGTGAAGAGGGAGTAGAGGAGGCAGCTCAGCACACAGCCCTGTGGGACACTGGTGTTCAGGGTTAGGGTTGAGGAGGTGTGGTTGTCTAACCGAACAGATTGGAGTCTGTTAGTTAGAAAGTCCAGTATCTAGTTGCAGAGGGAGGTGTTGATGCCAAGGTTACTGAGTTTGGTGATCAGACAAGAGGGGACTATGGTGTTGAATGCTTAACTGAAGTCAATGAACAGCATTCTCACATAGGTGTTACTGTTGTCCAGGTGGGAGAGGGCGGAGTGTAGCGCTGTAGAGATGGCGTCTTCTGTACTCCTGTTCTGGTGGTAGGTGAATTGGAGGGGGTCCAGTGTGGGTCGTAGGCTGGTTTTGAGGTGAGCCAGGACCAGCCCCTCGGAGCACTTCATGATGGCTGGGGTGAGTGCAACAGGGTGGAAGTTATTGAAGCTCGCTGCAGTTGAGTGTTTGGGCACCGGCATGATGGATGTGGTTTTGAAGCATGTAGGGACAACTGCTTGGGCCAGTGACAGGTTGAAGATGTCAGTCAGGACCTCCAGCACTGGCCCTGAGCACACGTCCAGAGATGCCACAGCCTTGATCGCTGCCTCCTGGTTCTCTCTGTCAAAGCGATCATAAAAGTTGTTGAGCTCATCTGACAAGGAGGCGTCGCTGGCTGGTGTGGTTGTGTTGGTCAGTTTGTAGTCTGTGATGGCCTGGATGCCTTGCCACATGCGCCGGGGGTTGGAGATTTTGTTATTGATGCTCCTCTATCCTTAGCTTGTGGCTGTGCTTGGCCTTCCTGATGCCCCTCTTCAGGTTAGCCCTCTCACTGCACTGTAGGTTGTCGTGGAACTTCAGGTTTATGACTGCATACGGCAATTTGCAGGCAACACGGAAAATTGCCGTGAATTGTCGGAAATTGACGTGGGCCTTGCTTGGCAGTTGTCCCCCCCATGACCTCACTCCCCCTAATTCTAGGGAAAAGAATTCTTGTAAAAGGTAAGAAAATCTCTGGTATAAATTGATCAGGCTCAGTGTAGCCTAATTACAGACTCTTAAATTTTAGCTTGTATTGATTTATTTCTTGAAAGTATGCTAGAGGAATTACTGTGTATGTCATTAGCAATGGCAAATGTTATGTAAAAAAGAAACACAAATGTAGTAGAAGAAGAATTGAGAGAAATATATATATTGTCCTCAGGTCCACTAGGGGGCGATGAGTAAGTTGTTACCTGTTGGGAATGCAATAGATGGAAAGAAGAAGAATTTAGTCCTGTTACTGTGAGAGATGATGTGATCGTGATATACACTGTGTTTGTCAGGAACAAAATAAACTTCCCCCATGTTCGGTAAGAAGCCTCCCGTGAGTTAGTACAACAAAATAATTTATTTCAACAATTAAGAAACTGCTGAATGCTATCAGTGGGCTGTCTCTGTTTGCTGCCGATGTCAATGAGCAGTTCACTCAACTCAGCAGTTCAGTAAACTCCAGGTTGCGGTCCATGGAGGATAGGTTGGCTGCTTTGGAGTCGAAACTGTGCAGGAGACTCTAAGAAGAGAAGACGAATGCACAATCCCAAGATTGCGGTAAGAATATGTTCGGTGACTGCTAGCTAAGCTAAAAGTAGCCTAAAAGCAAAGGTTTTTTTCAAGTAGCCCAAGCTAAAAGTAGCCTAGTAGCCTTGTAAAAGAACAAGTGAGCAGAACCAGTGTATCTTTTTGTCTTGTAATTTACAGGAAGCAGTACGCCGTCGTCACAACTCAGAGACAAATTGTAGGCGCTACGAACCGGAGCAAGGGTAAGATTTAAAGAATATGCTTTCATTCTGCTGTATAAAGAAATAGAGACGTTAACAGATACCGATCTTAACTGTACATTTTGTTTCCACAGACTAACCTCGCCTCATAACGAGGCCGTGACGTCCTATTTGCTCGGAGCTATGTCTGCAAGTCCAGATTTACACGATGCTGATAATGACGACATTGTGTGTAAGTAACTTTTACTGTTTTCTCCTTCCTTGTTTAATTTTACTGTGACTTACGTTTTTTTATTCATACCCCTCTCATTTAATTGTTTTCCAGCTGCCTGTAAGACCTATTACGAGACAGTACGCAGGAGCTTCAGGTCCAAACAATCAGACCTTGCACCGCAGGCGGAAGCTGTGAAGAGTTCAGCTCAGAGTCGATTGAGAAGAAAGAGGGTAAGACTTTTTTTGGTGACTATTTTTCAGGTGCATTAAAAGATGTGTTGTGTCCATACGCAGTGCATCGCGCATTACTGATTGTCTTTATTGATTGTTTTTACAGCTGCTGGAAGCTGGACAGAGTGTGCTAGATGAGGAAGAGGGGGAACTTTGGAAGTCAGCCACCATAGGCCTGATGTCTGATGAGGAAGACGGCATCGTTGGTGGGGTGTCCAGATGGATTGTGCGACCTCCGTCCTTTCGCAGCCAGGAGCTCATCGAGCTCTGTGCCACGCTGCAGTCCAGATTAGAGGCGACTCCGAAGTACAGGGCAACGCACCACAGACGTCTGTAAAACGGGCCAAATTCAGACAGAATGCCGCCAGTTAACTACAGCTCTGAGGCGACTTCACGGTGCTGTAGGATTTTGGGCTTCTCGTGAGCTTCCCATTTGTTGTGTGGGCAGATCTCGCTTTGTACATAGTTGTGTGTTTGTGCTAATAAAGCTCTTTCTTTGAATAAACATGTTCCTGGCAAATTTTCCTTTCCTCAATAAATTCATTCATGTCCTTGATGGTAGTAATAGTGTAGTCCATAGGATAACAATGACATGAATATACAACATAATAGCATATCATATGAATATATATATATATATATATATATATATAATTATTATTTTATTATTGGGGGTTACATTTATAATGACCCAGGGTGACCAATAGTGACAGATCTGCCAACCAATCACGAGTGATTTTTCTTGTTTAAAAGTAGTGGTTTCATCCAATACTGAGTAAGGAAATTCAAGCCAGGCCTGGCCAGGCGCGGTTTCGCTGCTATTCATATGCTAATTAGATCCATTAGCACTCTGCTGCGAACTCCACATACGTCATGGTTCGTTTCTGACAATATGTGGCACAGACAAACGCGACGTTCACAGGCTGTAAATTGTCATTAACTGCCGAAAATTAGGGAGATTTCCGGGCGTTTACAGGGTTGAAAATCCCACTTTTCATGCAGTGTCTGCATCTGCAGCTTTAAACACAAAGTCTGCACGCTGACTTCACTGGAGCACCATAAAGCGTTAGCACTGAGCTGCTAACCTTTTCTGCTGCGCAACCCCCATGCACACACACACACACATACACACCTTTTTCTTTCTTTAGTTTCTGTCCAGTTATATTGTACATTGTGTGTTTTCATCTGTTTTGCTTTTATTTTTTTTTTTAATAAATGCTTGTGTTTATACATGCTGGCCTATTTATTTCATTTGTCGCACTAGAGTGGGTGATACCAGCCTCTTCTATGTCAAATTCCACATTCTTCAATTTAAACTATTAATAGTGATTTTGGTTCTGGTTATTAGTCTAATTATTAATCCGATTTTTAAGTGAATAGTTTAGTCCATTTTATTAAACTAAATCAATCAAGTATTGACTATCGTTTCCCTTATTTAAGGGTGGTGTCCCGAGGATTTGTAATGTAAATCTATGTCATTTTCTATTATCTTTTGATGATTAATCAATTTTAACTGATTGATTGATTGCACTAATATAGTGTGGTGCTGCTTTAAACCACTGTTGTGCCAACAAATGGTACTGCTGTGATTTTCATGGCACCTACACAAGGTACTGAAAATTGTTAAAATCTAACTAAACAGAAGGTTTACTTGAAGATTTCTGCTGTAATGGTGTGGTTGTGTTGATGTCAAAGAGTTGTTTTGCCACTTTAACTTAATAAATTCAACACCTATTTCCACCTTTACAGCATTTCTATGTAGATGTGCAAATTAATTCCTTTTCTTTGTTATGTTTTTACCTTTTCATGACACATCGGTGTGAACTGCTCTGTGTAAACATTTAGGTGACATACAATTTGTCTCTGGGTTCATGAGTATTGGGATGCATGTATCTGGACCTATATCTTATAATCACCACTGTAAATATGTTAACTTTTCAATTTTCTTTTATTTTACATTTTGTTGTTTTAAATGTTTTACTTGAACATCATTTGAGTTCACCACATTAACTGACAAAGACAAATTTTCCATTCAATTTTCCGTCAGCACATTTCAAGACAAGATATTCTGAATCATTTACTGACTCTTTATTGCTTATTGACCAGTCAACATCTTATAACAGAACAGATAGAGTTCATAGAAGTATAGTCTAGACCTGCTCTGTTTGAAAAGTGTCCCAAGTTAACTTTTGTTATGAATTGGCGCTATATAAATGTAATTTAATTTAATTGAATTTAATTGAATATGTTTTTCGTATTTTGGTCATTTGGAGTCCATACATGATAGGATTCAAAAGCGGCTGTATGATGAGAAAATACAGTGATAGAATGATTCGCAGTTCACTGGGAAACCTGCTCATATCAAATCTACTCTCAAAGAAACAGCCAAAAGAAAAATTCAACAGAGAAACAAGGTGAGGTGTGCAGGTACTGACAGCTTTCTGTCTGGTCTGTCTGGAACCAGAAAAACAGATTTTAAGAATTTTCATGTAAGAGAAAAGGATTGGGAGCAGAGGGACTAATACAGTGAGGACAATACCAAAAAGTCCATAAATGTTGTTCACTTTGGTGTCTGAACATGCCAACTTAACAACAAGGTAGTTATTACAGTACAAACTGTTTATGACATTTCCACAAAGTGTCAGACGAATGTTTAAGGATAAAGTAATCAAGAATTTGACAAAAGAGTACAACCATATTACAGCAATAAACACACCCACTTTGTAGATTGTCATACGTGTGTGATACTGCAGAGGACAACAGATAGCAAGATATCTGTCATAAGACATGATGGCTAAATTACAAAACTCTATGCTTCCATAAGTATACACACAGAAGATCTGCAGGAAACAAAAGGGAACAGAAACAGTGTGAATGTCAGAGAGAATCTGAACCAGAAGCATTGGAAACAACCCTGTACTACCATACAGTTCATTTACAAACAGGCTGCACAGAAATATGTACATAGGTTCATGTAAGCTTCTGTTCATACAGATAATCACAATGAGAGATGTGTTGACAACAACAATAACAATGTAAATAAAAGCGGTTATCATAAAATAAAAGTATCTTAAGTTTCCAAAGTTCAAATAAGCTCCAAGAATAAAATAAGATAAAGATGATAAAGTTGAATTTGTTGTCATTCTTAAATCTGTAAATGAAACATGATCACATAACCTGCTGCTGTCTGCTCTGTCAGCTGCAGCAACAACTGCTGCTTTATACTTTCAGAACAGAGAAATCCCAGCAGAACACTCACACCTCATCCTCAGGACCCAAACCAGTCAATTGACACATTCAATGATCCCTCCAAGAAACCTAACATGGTGTGTACTGTAGCTCAAAACAATAATATAATAATAATAATAATAATAATAATAAAATACACTGTGCAGACACTACATTAACATTTGTCAGTCACTCAGAGGAGATGTGATGAGAAGTTCATCTTAGACGTTGTAACTGTCAAAGTCTAATAAGTGTATTCCTGCAATGCCAAATAGCGCCACTAGGTGGTGCCTACTTGTTTTGTTGTGATGTACACACGCTGACACTACGATGATTGACACAAAAAAAGACTTCTCCTCAGTAAAGAGTTGGTGTGAACCCTGCTGACAGCGCTCCCTGCATGCCTGACGGAGTCACTTGGCTAAGAATGAACAAGCGCTTCTGCCAGCATTTTGCCATAGTTCAACATCTGTCATCCTCTTTCATCCTGAGAATGGATTTTATGACCAGAGCCTCAATGTCTGTCCACATCCCTTCCAGAACTGTGTACATGGACTGTGCAGTTGAAAGGAGGATCCATCATGTCTCTCGACACCCTACACTCCACTCTCATGGCAAAAGTCACTGAGGCAAGCCTTGAGGAAGGACAGAGAATGGCCATGTTCAGTCTTCTCACCCAGTTTGAAAACATGTTCGATGGTCACCTAGGACATGTTTCCTAGCGGAACATGTGATCGATACGGGAGATACAAAGCCTATCAATCTGCCACCTTACTGCACATCTCCAGCAAAAAAACTGATCATCATAGAGCAGGTACAGCAGGACGGCATCGTTAAGCCAGCCACTGGTCCATGGGTGGGCCCTGTTGTGATTGTAATGCAGATGACAACAGAAGAAAAGGGCAAGGCGTGGTATTTGATTGCAGGGGTTTGGGGAGTGGAAGGTGAGGAGGCGATAGCCAAACAATGTCGGGCAAGTAAAACACTTTTGTGTGTTCTGAAATGCTCTCAGTGGGATTTAAAGAGACGATGTCATCGAGTTGTGCTTGATGGAATTTGAGTGTGACAAGCCTCATCTAGAGTGTAGGCGTTCAGCTTCGGTGGCCATGTCGCAGCCAGAACATATGACATGATGTCACAGATGAGCTCGGTGGAATCAAGATGTAGATGAAGATGACAATCGACACGCTGCCAGACTTACACATCTAAACATGTAGGACAAAAGTTACGCAGTAAGAAGTTGTCTGCTTGAGTGTGTTTATTTTATATTCTAGATATATTTCTAAATAAACCAACTTATGAAAAAACATGCACATGTTTTATTATATAGCTCCTCATTTCAGTTTTATTATGAGAATCAGTTTACACATTTGACTGATGTATACAGTACAGCATGCAGGATTTTCATTTGACGATGATATATTAATATGTATTTAAACTATAGAACATATTCATAACTAGTCAGTGGATGTTTTGGTCTTAGAATTTTATTGATACTAACTGTTGTTCAGAGTGATGGCCTTCTGTTAAAACTGTTCTTGTGTCTGGTTGTCTTGGCATACAGCGCTCTAGAGCGGCTCCCAGAGGAGAGGTTGGAGCAGGTCCAGGGTCCTGACTCTGCACATGTAAAAGTCCTGAAAGGAGGGCAGGTTGCAGTCCTGACTCTGTTCCTGATCCAAACCAGACAGTAAGGGATCTACAGACTGAATAATGGCGATGTAGAACCGGATCAGTAGCTCCTTAGGCAGGTTGAGCTTCCTGAGCTGGAATAGAAAGTACATGCTCTGCTGTGCCTTCTTGATGATGGTGTCTGTGTTGGACTCCTTGAAACCTGAAGTGTTCCACAGCAGACACAGTGTTTTTAGGTATGGTGATGGGGGGGCTCCTCCTAAACTCAACAGTTCTGAGCGTGTGAAGCTCCAGGTAGTTCTGACCACATCAGAGGACCAGCTGTTCAACCCCCTATCACTGTCCCGGATGAGGCCAATGGCCGTTGTGTCATCTGCAAACTTCAGGAGTTTGACAGATGGGTCTGTTGAGGTGCAGTCATTTGTGTGGAGGAAGAAGAGCAGCAAGGAGAGCATGTGCCCCTGGTGGGTGCCAGTGCAGATTGTCCTGGTGCTGGATGTGATTGTTCCCAGCCTCAGCTGCTCCCTCTTGTTAGTCAGGAAGATTGTGATCCACAAATAGGATCCTTGTACATGTCCCCCTGAGAGTCGAGGTGCTGCAGGATGTAGTGCAGTCCTGTGTTGACTGCATCATCCACTGACCAGTAGGCACACTGGGACTTCATGGCTATAGACGTCAGAGTAACGGGCCTGTAGTCATTTAGTCCTGAGATAGAGGGTTTCTTGGGGATCGGGATGATTGTGGAGTATTTAAAACAGGAGGGGACTTCACACAGCTAAAAAGGATCTGTTGATTTGTCTCTGAAAGAGCTGATATACATTCTCTTCACAGGTCCTAAGTTCAGGTCGGGAGTCTGTGGGGAAGGGTGAGGGGGAGGATGGGAATCAGAGTAGGTGAAGGGTTTGAGTGTGGGCTTGTTGCCAGCCAGTTGGGGGTTCTGCACAGTGGGGGGGTTGGTCTCTGGTGGTTGGTGTTGTTTTGAAGGCCTCTCCACACTGACACTGGATCGTTAGGTCAAAACCTGTTTTACTTTTCTGCTGCTCTGACCTCCCTCGTCAGTGTGTTTCTACCTGGTTGCACAGGATTATGTCCCCACACCTGTAGGCATCCTCTTTAGCCTGAGTGTTGCTTTAAACCAAGGTTTATTGTACTAGCAGAGAGTTTAATTCGGTGTACATGTCCTCAGAAAAAGCAGACATAAAATATCAGTGAGTTCATGCAGGTCTGCAGCCTCAAAAACACTCAACCAGGCAACAAAAGCAGGCCTTTAATTTTATAGACACCTTATCTCAGGGCTCATGACTATTGAGATGCATGTTTTTTCCCCCAACATATTTCTATCTTTTTCAGAACTCAAGACTCACTGTGTTACAAATTTGTTATGTAGGCATAATTTGTTTTCATTTTGAGGGGTATTGGCCTTTCAGCAGAGAGTTTTTAAGCTCTGATGTCAAATAATCCAGGACAGGGTTCCAGATCTTGAAAAAATGAGCTGTCATCGGCCCAAAGGACCGCACTTATCCTTTCATGAGGTAACACATTAAAAATCTCCCTGTACCGGAATGTTACTGTGGGTGGAGTATCTCTACCCATTTTAACAGGAAGCATTTGCCAGTGAGGAGAAACGTTTAGTGATTATGGGAGACGGATAATTCTTTAGAGGGCAAACCTAATATGATTAGCCCTGGGTCCTTCCTTATTGTAGTCTTAAAGATGCCACTCAGTTCTCAAGCTATGTGATTCCAATATCTGCTAATCTGAATGCCATCTGATCGCAAATATCCAAAAAAGTGATCTTTAGGGAGACTAAATTTGTCTGGAACCTGCTGAAAGGACATCAAGATGTTACCCTCAAACATAACTTCTACCACATGAATCCCTTTATCCCGCCATGATTTCGAATAAAGAAGGCCCCAAGCCAGGTAAAAATTCCTGATAATTACAGATGAGAGACAGCATGGATTTGACACCCCATCTGTCCATGTATTCAGATATCTCCGGCCACATTAAAAGAGTTGATAATCAATGGGTCGGGATGCATGTTGATATATAACATACTATAACCACCACTTTAAATACCTTATGTTCACTTTTCAGTATTTTTTCATTTTACATTTCACACTTTAAATCTATTATTTGAACATTATTTAAATTCATCACAGTAACAGTGAGAGATTCCATTTTTCACATTTCAAGGTAAAATATTCTCAATCATTTACTGACACTTTCTTATTGCACTCACACAGTATCTCTCTGACCAGTCAACATCTTATAACAGAATAGATGTTCATATGTTTTTCGTATTTTGGTCATTTGCAGTCCATACATGATAGGATTCAAAAGTGGCTGAACAATGAGAAAATACAGAGACAGAAAGATTTGTAGGAGTCTGGGAACACTGCTCATATCAAATCTAGTGCGAAGTATTTCAAAGGAACACCCAAAAGAAAAATTCAACAGAGAAACAAGGTGAGGTGTGCAGGTACTGACAGCTTTCTGTCTGGTCTGTCTGGAACCAGAAAAACAGATTTTAAGAATTTTCATGTAAGAGAAAACAATTGGTAGCAGAGGGACTACAATGGTGACAACTGTCCCAAAAAGTCCATAAATGTTGTTCACTTTGGTGTCTGAACATGCCAACTTAACAACAAGGTAGTTATGACAATACAAACTGTTTATGGCATTTCCACAAAGCGGCAAACGGATGTTTAAAGATAAAGTAATAAAGAATTTGATAAAAGAGTACAACCATATTACAGCAATGAAGACAACTGCCTTGTAGATTGTCATACGTGTGTTATATTGTAGAGGACAACAGATAGCAAGATATCTGTCAAAAGACATGACGGCTAAATTACAAAACTCTACATGTGCATATGTGTACAAGCAGAAAATCTGCAGGTAACAAAAGGGAGCAGAAACAGTGTGAATGTCAGAGAGAATCTGAATCAGAAGCATTGGAAACAACCCTGTACTACCATACAGTTCATTTACAAACAGGCTGCACAGAAATATGTACATAGGTTCATGTAAGCTTCTGTTCATACAGATAATCACAATGAGAGATGTGTTGACAACAACAATAACAATGTAAATAAAAGCAGTTATCATAAAATAAAAGTATCTTAAGTTTCCAATGTTCAAATAAGCTCCAAGAATAAAATAAGATAAAGATGATAAAGTTGAATTTGACATCATTCTTGGTTTATAAGACAAAACAACTAATGTCAGCAAATATTTAAAATGTATGTTCTCATTCTATAACAAATCAATTACTTCCTTATAACTAATCACTTTGAAAAACAATATTTTTTAAAAAGGAAGTGTAAAGATTTCTAACAATATATACAGTTATCACATAAAGCCTAAAGTTACCCAGCCATTAACCTGCCCACCCTTATCCTCAATCGGATCTGTTAACCAGCACACTGCTGCACTCAGTCTAACTGTCGGCGGCAGCAACATGTGCTGGTTCATATCCTAACAGGCCAGTGCTACGTCATCATCATTAGCACTCCCGGCTCCAGATTGTTTTTCACTCATTGCAAGTAAAGCTTTGTTTGAAAGACCACTTCCAAAACAGAAGCTTCTTCATGTTTATTGTGACGCTCAATGAGAGTATAGTTGATTGTGGGAGGCTGCCACAATTTGAGCAATGCGATAAAAAAAATCTTACATTTTGCTTTGTCCTTTTGAAACACTAGAGAGTTTAACATCTTGAAAAGGACTTGAAAAACTACCTAAATGAAACAGTCTGTAAGGAAACATCACTCTTTGATTACGTTGCTAACTGTTAAGTTTATAAAATTTTTAACATTTTCTGGCTTTAAGGGTCACAAGCCAAAAAAGTTTGGAACCAATCATTAAAACGTGGTCCCAGATTTTCCTCCAAGGACTTCTGTTTTATATTCAATGAATCTGAGAGAATTCTAAGACTCCCAGTCTCTCACAATATGTGACACAATATAAAGGCCAGCATAAACGATAAAGTTATCTTCTCCAGTGTGTTTATTTTAGATCATAGATATATTATCAGATATAATATCACCTTATGAACCAGGTGCAAAATTATACAAAGGCACTGAGAATTATTATTAGAATCTAAAACATTTACACACACCTTCACACCTGAAATCAAACTCAGAACATTCAGTAAACTGCCTTTACAACTAAATCATTCAATTATATGATTTATTTATTTATTATACCTAATATCTGACTATCTAATAGCTGATACCTGATATTTCCCAGAGGAAATCAAACTTATTCCCTTTTGCCTGATATTGCCCATAAACTAGTATCATGAACAGAAATAAATAAATAAATAAATGTATAAGGACAACACAAAGGACAAGGCCTGGAATTTAATTGCAGGAGTTTTTGGGAGTGGAAGGTGAGGTTATAACCTAACAACCTTGGGCTGGCAATCATCAATACACTACTGGACTCACACATCTAAACATTTGGGACAAAAGTTACAATCTGAGAAGTTATCTTCTATCTATCGTCAATCTATTCTCCAGTATGTTTATTTTACATCATTAATATATCATTAAAGACACTATCACCTTATCAACCACATGCAAATTCATACAAAGGCACTGAAAAGTATTATTAAAATCTAATCCTTTAACAATCCCACAACCTCAGTGCATCACCACCAGCTGAATCATAAATACCAACAATAAGAAAGTTTACTTGCAGATTCCTGCTGTAATGCTGTGGTTGTGTTGTGGGAAAGTTGCCACTTTAACTTCATAAAGTCAACAGTTAATTCTGCTGTAAAACTGTTCATATTTACATTGTCTAAATTAATACATGTACTTTATTTTATTTTAAAAGTTTTTTATTATGAGAATCAGTTTAATTTGCCAACTATGTGAACACATTTTACTGATGTAGACAGGTCTGTATTCAGTATATACGGCATAGCAGATTTTTATTTGATGATGATGATGATGATATGTATTTAAACTATAAAACATATTCATAACTAGTCAGTGGATGTTTTGGTCTTAGAATTTTATTGATACTAACTGTTGTTCAGAGTGATGGCCTTCTGCTAAAACTGTTCTTGTGTCTGGTTGTCTTGGCATACAGCGCTCTAGAGCGGCTCCCAGAGGAGAGGTTGGAGCAGGTCCAGGGTCCTGACTCTGCACATGTAAAAGTCCTGAAAGGAGGGCAGGTTGCAGTCCTGATTCTGTTCCTGATCCAAACCAGACAGTAAGGGATCTACAGACTGAATAATGGCGATGTAGAACCGGATCAGTAGCTCCTTAGGCAGGTTGAGCTTCCTGAGCTGGAACAGAAAGTACATGCTCTGCTGTGCCTTCTTGATGATGGTGTCTGTGTTGGACTCCTTGAAACCTGAAGTGTTCCACAGCAGACACAGTGTTTTTAGGTATGGTGATGGGGGGCTCCTCCTAAACTCAACAGTTCTGAGCGTGTGAAGCTCCAGGTAGTTCTGACCACATCAGAGGACCAGCTGTTCAACCCCCTATCACTGTCCCGGATGAGGCCAATGGCCGTTGTGTCATCTGCAAACTTCAGGAGTTTGACAGATGGGTCTGTTGAGGTGCAGTCATTTGTGTGGAGGAAGAAGAGCAGCAAGGAGAGCATGTGCCCCTGGTGGGTGCCAGTGCAGATTGTCCTGGTGCTGGATGTGATTGTTCCCAGCCTCAGCTGCTCCCTCTTGTTAGTCAGGAAGATTGTGATCCACAAATAGGATCCTTGTACATGGTCTCTGGTGGTTGCTGCTGTTTTAAAGGCCTCTCTGCTCTGATGTGAGGTTGTTAGTTGAAAACCTGTTTATCAGCTTCCTCCTCTGCTGTTCTGACCTCCTTTGTCTCCTTTGTTTGTTTTACCTGACACAGGATTCTGTCCCCACACCTCCACCTTAGCCTGAGTATTGCTGTTATCCAAAGTTTACTGTACATGTCCTCACAAAATCAGTCAGATCCCACTTTCATGACAACTGACCTTTAATAATAATTAAATTTATAAGAAGCCAAATGAAAGAGGAATCATGAAAAGGGCATGAAGTAAAGAAAAAAGAAATATTTCAGTCTGGTTATATGCAGACACGTGAATATTTACATCTAAGTTGAGCGGTGCCTACTGCTCTATCAAAGCTGATAGAAAGTGAAACAAAAAGAAAGCACACAACACAAAAAGGAAAACAACAGAATTAACAGTGACAGCATCTCATTGAATAAAATATATTGTCCTCTGATTCTGATACCTTGACAATGGTAAACAAGGATTTAAGAAGAATTAGATCATCTTTAAATTGGCACTAGGCATAATGTTCTTTCATTCTGAGGGGTTTTGGCCTTTCAGTGTGTTTAAGCTCTGATGGCAAATAACCTAGGACAGAGTTCTAGATTATGCAAAGTAATCCTTCATTGGACAGTCAAAGCAGGCCTGTGTATGGAATATGGAATATATTACATACTCTAATCAGCACTTCACAGTAACATTTATATAAAGAGACATTTTTTTCCATTCAGTTTTCACATTTGAAGGTAAAATATTCTTAATCATTTACTGACACTTTCTTGTCGCAATTACACAGTATCTCTCTGACCAGTCAACATCTTATAACAGAATAGATGTTCATATGTTTTTCGTATTTTAGTCATTTGCAGTCCATACATGATAGGATTCAAAAGCGGCTGTATGATGAGAAAATACAGAGATGGAATGATTCGCAGAACACTGGGTATACTGCTCATATCAAATCTACTCTGAACTATTTCAAAGACACACCCAAAAGAAAAATTCAACAGAGAAACAAGGTGAGGTGTGCAGGTACTGACAGCTTTCTGTCTGGTCTGTCTGGAACCAGAAAAACAGATTTTGAGAATTTTCATATAAGAGAAAAGGATTGGGAGCAGAGGGACTAAGACAGTGAGGACAATACCAAAAAGTCCATAAATGTTGTTCACTTTGGTGTCTGAACATGCCAACTTAACAACAAGGTAGTTATGACAATACAAACTGTTTATGAAGTTTCCACAAAGCGGCAAACGGATGTTTAAAGATAAAGTAATCAAGAATTTGATAAAAGAGTACAACCATATTACAGCAATAAAGACAACTGCCTTGTTAAATGTCATACGTGTGTGATACTGCAGAGGACAACAGATAGCGAGATACCTGTCAAAAGACATGACCGCTAAATTTAAAAACTCTACACTTCCATAAGTATACACACAGAAGATCTGCAGGAAACAAAATGAAGTAGAAACAGTGTGAATGTCAGAGAGAATCTGAATCAGAAGCATTGGAAACAACCCTGTACTACCATACAGTTCATTTACAAACAGGCTGCACAGAAATATGTACATAGGTTCATGTAAGCTTCTGTTCATACAGATAATCACAATGAGAGATGTGTTGACAACAACAATAACAATGTAAATAAAAGCAGTTATCATAAAATAAAAGTATCTTAAGTTTCCAATGTTCAAATAAGCTCCAAGAATAAAATAAGATAAAGATGATAAAGTTGAATTTGACATCATTCTTGGTTTATAAGACAAAAGAACTAATGTTTTTTAAACCAAGTGTAAAGATTTCTAAAAATATATACAGTTATCACATACAGCCTAAACTTACCCAGCCATTAACCTGCCCACCCTTATCCTCAATCGGATCTGTTAATGAGCACACTGCTGCGCTCAGTCTAACTGTCGGCGGCAGCAACATGTGGTGTTTTATATCCTAACAGGCCAGTGCTACGTCATCTGAAAGGAAACATGTGTCTTTGGTTATGTTGCAAACAGCTTTTTTTCCCACAACAATCAAGGTTGCCATTAGGCATTTTCTGGCTTTAAGGGTCACAAACTAAAAAAGAACAAATTATTAAAAATTGGTCCAGAACCTGTTTTATATTCACTTAATTTGTGAAAATTCTAGGACAACCTATCACTCTCAATATAAAGGCAGACATAAAAGATAAATATATTAAAGTGTCAAGTTAAAAGATCCTATTGTAGTGTATCACAAAGAAACTAAAAGGACCAAGAAAAGATCCTTGAGGTACACCAGCAACCAACAGACAGTTTTTATTTGACAAAACTAGAGTCTCACTCTCAACTCATCAAATGCTAATGTTGAACAGTGGCCCTCCGCATCAAAATGTGATGGTGTAGGTCAGGGGTCATTACTACATTTGTCCAAGGGCCAGAATTTTTCTCTGCAGACACTGTGAAGGCCAGATGCTCGTAAGATAAAATGAAATTAGTATTGTATCCTAAGTGATATGTTATTATTTGATATACTAATTTTCACATGCAGTGTTGTAGTTTGTGGAGAACACTGGCAGGAGAAAGGCCTTCTAAATATGTTTCAAGCATGAAAAATGGCACTCTCGAAGAGCCTTAAGCAGAGAGTTGATGCAGAGAACTGTAGCTTTAATGAAGAATGGACTGATAAGTATGTATTCATAGTGCCAGCTTTTAGAAATGCTGTACCTGTGTGCCTCATTTGCAACAAAACTGTTTGACATTTGTGAAAAACGACTATAGATAAAATGAGCATGTGAAATAATAAAAGATGTTAATGAGAGCAATGAGTTTATCGTCATTTTTGATTGAAGGCAGGCGATTCAATTCAATTCAATTCAATTCAATTTTATTTGTATAGCGCCAATTCATAACAGAAGTTATCTCAGGACACTTTTCAAATAGAGCAGGTCTAGACTGAACTCTTTATAACATTAATTACAGAGACCCAACAGTTCCCACCATGAGCAAGCACTTGGAGACAAGGGCAAGGAAAAACTGCCTGTTAAAAGGCAGAAACCTAGGACAGATCCTCCGGCTCTAGGTGGGTGGTCGTCTGCCTCGACCAGTTGGGGTGAGAGAGAGAGACAGAGAGAGAGAGAGAGAGAGAGAGAGAGAGAGAGAGAGAGAGAGAGGCAGAGAGAGAGAGAGCGAGAGACAGACAGACAGGTGCACAGCAACAACAGTATTGGCAATGGCACTCTAGCAGGACCATGGCAGGAGGCTCCACCAGGATCGACAAGAACCTGCGAGACGAGAAAGCACAAGAACTCCGGGGAAGAAGTGAAGTTAGTAACATGCATTAATGGAACATGAATGAGTGCAGAAAGAGAGAGGAAGAGAGGAGCTCAGTGCACCATGGGAAATCCCCCGATAGTCTAGGCCTATAGCAGCATAACTAAGGGATGGTTCAGGACTCACCTGATCCAGCCCTAACTATAAGCTTTATCAAAGAGGAATGTCTTAAGCCTACTCTTGAATGTCGATGGCACAGGCTACTTTTCAGAGGGCGTTTCTTTCATTTGATTTAAAAATAAATAAATATAGAAACATACTTTTTCGTCTTTACTAGGCCATTCCTGAATTCAGTAATATTCTGGTGGACCGGATGTGGTCCGCGGGCCGCCAGTTGACATTCACTGGTGTATGTGAACCTCTAGTGCCATTTCTGGATGTGCCTGCAGTCAGAGTCAAGTGGCGTAGTATAAACAGTGAGAAAGTCAGCATACGGAGGTGGTGGGTTGTATGGATGGCCTTAAACAAACACAGGACCAAACCAGGAGTGAAACCCAGAGTAAACAATTTCTTTTTTAATTAACAAACCTTTTAATTAGTTAACTTACATTAAAATACTTTTTAAAAAAAAAGCGAAACTCCTGTACTGTATTGTATCGTACTAGTCTAACTGGACGTTGCATATTTATTATTGCTAACTTAACCACGGAGCCCTGCACATCCAGAAATGACGTAAGAGGGTTACCTACTACATCGACATATTTTGAAGTGGAGGGCCACTGACCAAGTGGGCGTGAGAAAATATTGCTGAAGCAGACCAAAGAATGTCATAGAAAGCCACTGATTAAATGAAGTCTATGTTTGCAAGCTATCAATTTGTCTGTATTTGTCCGAAGCGGAGAGAGAAGGTACTCAGGGATATAAACATCACATTCTTGTGGATTTTCACTAAAAATCTGACCCTCATAGACAGGCAGTAGAGGAACAAAGCTACGCTACAACCCATTCACTCATTGGCAATAAAAAGTGATTAATACATAAAAATAATACGGAAAACACTTCAGAATCCTACATATTAGCACCTCTAAAGAATCAGGATGTTATTATGAACATAGTTTAACTGAAAAGTAAAACTGATATTTTTCTAAAGTTAGACACAATGCCATGTGTCTGACCATCCTGAGGAGTGTTGTCACACAGTGGTTTGAGGGGAGGTCATTATCGTCCTCAGGCCTCAGTGGACCAGTGAAACCAGTGCTGAGGTCTACTCCGGCTGATTGGTCTTGCTGGTTAACAGCTCTGACTCTAATTTGCTTCAGAGGGAATTAGTGGAAACTGTGTGTAATGAGATGATTCCTCAGGGACAAACCTGTTGACAGGCTGAAATGACCTTTGACCTAAGGGATTTATTTAATCAGCTGTATGCTCCCCCCCCATCTCTCTTCACACAGGACAAAGCAGCCTTTAATTACAAAAGAGAATAAAGTTCATACAAAAGTTTTTATTTATGAGCATTACTTTATATTGTTTTATATTACAAATGACTTTGTGTAAAGTTAAAGGAGTAGCCTCTGTTAGGTCCTGTTTAGGTTTTATGGCACATTTACTGTTTGTCTTTACTTACCAACAGTGCAGAGTCAGCTCTTGTGCTCCAGCGAATGTCAAGTCTGGTTAAAATACTGCTTTATCTAGATTTATGGAAAGTTCCATATTGTCATTTTTCTAACCAATATTATGGTTATTATTATTATTATTACTCCCAACTCATCAAATGCTGATGTTGAGCAGTGGCCCTCCGCTTCAAAATGTGATGGTGTAGGTGACCCACTAGTGCCATTTCTGGATGTGCCTAAAATAAATCACTAGTACATCCTACAGAGCTTTTTTTAAGCATATTCGCTGAATTGGGGCAAAAGAGTGTAAATAAATCTACCAAATATGTTTAATCACAGCTAAAGCTATAGCTAAATATAATTCAATATCATGTCTCAAAATAACAGAGGACTCCTAAAATAACCTTAGTCCCCCCTAAATTGATTATCTTGTTAATAGTGCTTCAGGCTCACGGTGAACAACACTTGACTCTATTGCCCCTCCTAAAAAAGAAGATATTAAAACATAAGAGGCTAGCACCGTGGTATAATCAGCAAACCCACCAATTAGTGGAAATTTGAAAGGAAATGGCCTTCTTCCAAATTATTAGAATATCACTCAGTTTGGCAAGACACCCTCACCACATTCAAGAGTAGGCTTAAGACATTCCTCTTTGATAAAGCTTATAGTTAGGGCTGGATCAGGTGAGTCCTGAACCATCCCTTAGTTATGCTGCTATAGGCCTAGACTATCGGGGGATTTCCCATGGTGCACTGAGCTCCTCCCTTCCTCTCTCTTTCTGCACTCATTCATGTTCCATTAATGCATGTTACTAACTTCACTTGACTTATTTTGTGTTACATGTGTGTTACAACAAGTGCTGCAACACAGAACTTTGTAACCTTGTTAAGAAGAATAAGAATTTTTATTTTTATTATATAACTGCTGTCTGGTGCATAATCACTGATGATGGTCAGAGCCTTCTTCCCAGGAACTATCTTGGGTCACAAGGGTCTTATGAGTATCACCACTCCTTGTTAGAACAGCAGAGTGTCCTGCTCCTGGTTCCAAAGTCAGCGATATGGCAAACAGTTTCTGTTTTTGAACCATTCATCTGACCTCCGCTCACTATCTTACAATCACATTTTAACATCATGGATGATGTGACATTCATAAATGAATAAATAGAACAGGAAATGCTAAACTTATTTTGAATTACTTTTTAGTGCTCGGATAGTTTACATTTATGTAGTATTTTTTTATATTTATATTAATTTATGTGCTTTTTTATATGATTATATGTTTTTAAATTAATTTATTTAAAGTTAAAAAAATATTTCTTCAAGTACCTCCAGAGGTACATATACCATAGTTTACAAACCAGTGACTTAGACCAGTTCTTTTAGGGTGACAATATTATAAGATAAACAAGGTTAAAACAGCAACACTTATAGTAGTATTAAGAACAACTTTATTGTCAACTTTGGTTACATCAAAACACATTTTTGCTTTTTTTTTCAAGTTGGTGAAGCTGTTGCTTTCACAATATCATAATGTAGGGAAACAATAAACAGTCATAACATTTTAGATTTCAACACAATGGAAGAAAAAGAAACTACCGGTATGTAACTTTCAACAACAATACGTTACATTTCACCAAATAAAATATTTTTACAGATTATGTGGATTTTTGTCAAATTCAGTCCATATAGAAGTGGGTTGTACAGCGGCTGGCAAATCAGAAAGTATAAAGATAAAAAAATGCGCAGTATAACCGGTGCATTGCTCATATTCAATCTGCTCTGCACTATTTCAAGGAAACAGCCACAGGAAAAGTTAAGCAGAGAAGCGAGGTGAGGTGTGCAGGTACTGACAGCTTTCTGTCTGGTCTGTTTGGAACCAGAAAAACAAACTCGAAGAATCCTAATGTAAGTGTACAAGATAAGTACTGTAAGACCAAATAATACAGTGAAAGTGTAAATTAATCCATACACATTATTGACTGTATTGTCATAGCATGCTAATTTCACAATAGAGTAATTGTCACAGTACAGTCTGTTAATAATGTGACCGCACAGCTGTAAAGAGGTATTTAATGATATCATGACAACAATCGCAAGAAGAGGGAAAAACCATGATAGAGCAATAAGCACGGCTACCTTATTAGATGTCATACGTGTGTTATATTGTAGAGGATAACAAATAGCAAGATATCTGTCATAAGACATGACTGCTAAACTATAAAACTGTACATTTACATAAGTATACAAACAGAAAATCTGCACATAACAAAAGGGAGCAGAAATAATATGAATGTCAGAGAGAATCTGAACCAGAAGCATTGGAAACAACCCTGTACTACCATACAGTTCATTTACAAACAGGCTGCACAGAAATATGTACATAGGTTCATGTAAGCTTCTGTTCATACAGATAATCACAATGAGCAAAAGATTGGCACAAACAATTAAAATATATAATAACATAACAATCATGAAAATGAAGTATTTAAAGAGCCCAATATCAGAGTAAGCAGCCAAAGTAAAATATGAAACCTGTGAAGAGTTTGTCATGATCATCTGTTTAAGTTTGCACAGGATGAACAATTTGCAATGCTACATTTATTTGTATAGATTTTTACTAATTTAAATGTCAAATGTACACTCATATTCATCTGCTCAGACTCCTTCCTAACTGAGCTGAAACTCTGCTTCTGCTTCTTTTATACTTTTCAGGTTAGCTGTGTACATCAACAGTCATTACCTCATTACCAAAGGACACGTTTAACTGATGTCTGAAAAAAACAAGAAAACATACATAGTTTCTGTCGTTCTTATTCATTAATTAATTATTAATAGTCATTTATCATTTGATTAAAAAGAAAATTAATTGGAAATTGTTTGATAACCGAATAATGATTTTTGTCATTTTCAATCCAAAAATGAAAGTAATTAAAAAGCTTTAATACAGTGTCATCTGATTTCACAGCAGTTGCAATGCAAGTTGTGATGTTTGTAAGCATATTTTTTACAATGAAATTGCGGGAGGAAGTGTCTCGTTACAGTGAGCATAAAATCATTAGTAGTTTGGTGACTGCTTTGATTGGTGAAATTTTCCGGAAACTACAATAATTTAGCAAATTTGCAGAAAAGTTGCAGTGATTGGACAAAATTGCAAGATCACGCAGGATTCACAGGGACTGGTTCAAGTTGCGTTAATTGTTGTGATTGCAACCACATCTCATCATACTGAGATACTGACGGGAAACCTGGCTGACACCAACAAATGCCACAGAAATAGTGGGACCCGGAACTAAAAAGACTGAAATATCTAACAGACTAGTTGTGTGCACAAGCAACTGAAGTCAGGCCTAGTTTTAAAAAAATACACAGACTCAACTGAACACAAACAGTATTATTCAATGAAACTTCAGTTTGAAGCCTTTTTGGGGAAAACCTGGTCTGATTAGGAGAGACGGCATCCATCCCACTTTGGATGGAGCGGCTCTCTTATCTAGAAATATGGCGAAGTTTATCTCTAAAACCTGACAGTCCAGAGTTAGGACCAGGAAGCAGAGCTGCTGTCTTACACACTCTGCGCTTTCTTTAGAACAGTCACCCACCCAAAACCCCATAGAGACTGTGTCTGTCCCCCGACCACCTAAACTATTTAAAGAAATAAAAACAAGAGGAGTTCAACATAAAAATCTAATAAAAATTAAAACCAACTCCTCAGTAGCACAAAATAAGAGAATGAAATGTGGGCTGTTAAATATCAGGTCTCTGTCCTCTAAAGCTGTTTTAGTGAATGAATTAATATCAGATTATGATATTGATTTACTTTGTCTTACTGAGACCTGGTTGTCCCACAAGGAGTATGTTTGCCTAAATGAATCCACCCCCCCCAGTCATATTAATACTCACATTCCTCGAGGCACAGGCCGAGGAGGACCCTAAACCTAAACTAAATTATAATTCATTTGAAAGCCTTGTTCTTAGCCTTTCTCACCCAAACTGGAAAACACTGCAGCCAGTTCTATTTGTTATAGTGTACCGCGCTCCTGGACCGTACTCTGACTTTATATCTGAATTTTCAGAGCTTAGTCCTTAAATCAGATAAAGTAATTATTGTAGGTGATTTTAATATTCATGTGGATGTTGACAATGACAGCCTTAGTAATGCATTTATATCATTAATAGACTCAATGGCTTCGTCAGAGTGTAAATAAACCAACTCATTGTTTTAATCACACTCTTGACCTTGTTCTATCATATGGCATTGCTATTGAACATTTAATAGTCTTCCCACATAATCCTTTCCTATCTGACCATTATTTGATAACTTTTGAATTCATACTATTAGATTATAAGCCATTAGGCAAAACTTCCTACAGCAGATGTCTATCTGACAGTGCTGTAGCTAAATTCAAGGAGGAGATTCCTTCAGTGTTTAATTCTATGCCATGTCTGAATTTAACAGAGTCCTATAACAACTTTAGTCCCTCTGAAATTGATAATCTTGTCGATAGTGCTACAGGCTCACTACGATCAACATTAGACTCTATCGCTCCTATAAAAAGGAAATTATTAAAACATAGGAGACTAGCACCTTGGTATAACCACCAAACCCGCCAGTTAAAACAAATAGCTAGGAAATCTGAAAGGAAATGGCGCTCTTCCAAATTATCAGAATATCGCTCAAATTGGCAAGATGATCTTAAGATTTATAGAAAGGCCCTCCGTAATGCCAGAGGAGCCTATTACTCAGCACTAATAGAAGAAAATAAGAACAACCCTAGGTCCTCTTCAGCACTGTAGCCAGGCTGACAGAGAGTCACAGCTCTATCGAGCCACATATCCCCATAAACTTAAGTAGCAATGACTTCATGAGCTTCTTCTATAATAAAATTATTACTATTAGAGAAAAAATTAATCACCAACTGCCATCAACGGTTATCAGTGGCTCTCCAAGTTCAGGGACTTCTGTCAATGTAAACTTAGATGTATATTTAGACTGTTTTTCTGCTATCGATCTTCATCAGTTAACTTCAATCATTTCTTTATCGAAGCCATCAACCTGTCTGTTAGACCCGATCCCAACTAGGCTGCTTAAAGAAGTTGTTCCCTTAATTGGCACTTCTTTACTGGATATGATTAATCTTTCTTTATTATCAGGATATGTACCACAGTCCTTTAAAGTAGCTGTAATTAAACCCCTTCTTAAAAAGTCTACTCTGACCCAGGGGTTTTAGCCAACTATAGACCGATTTCTAACCTCCCCCTTCCTCTCTAAGATTCTGGAGAAAGTAGTCGCCAAAGAGTTGTGTGACTTTCTACATAACAATAGTTTATTTGAGGATTTTCAGTCAGGATTTAGAGTTCATCATAGCACAGAGACAGCTCTGGTTAAAGTTAATAATGACCTTCTGACTGCTTCTGACAATGGACTTGTCTCTGTACTTGTATTATTAGATCTTAGTGCTGCATTTGACACCATTGACCATGATATTCTTTACAGAGACTTGAGCATCAAATTGGCATTAAAGGAACTGCCCTAACCTGGTTTAAGTCATACTTATCAGATCGTTCTCAGTTTGTACATGTTAACGATGAATCCTCCATAAATACTAAAGTTAGTCATGGAGTTCCACAAGGTTCTGTACTTGGACCAATACTATTTACTTTATATATGCTCCCTTTAGGCAACATTATTAGGAATCACTCCATTAACTTTCACTGTTATGCAGATGATACGCAGTTATATCTATCAATCAAACCCAATGAAATTAATCAATTATCTAAATTACAAACATGTCTTAAGGACATAAAATCCTGGATGACCTGCAATTTTCTGATGTTAAACTCAGAAAAACCGAAATTCTTGTTCTTGGCCCCAAAAACCTTAGAGACTCACTGTCTAAAGATATAGTCACTCTAGATGGCATTAACTTGGCCTCTAGCACCACTGTCAGGAATCTTGGAGTTATCTTTGATCAGGATTTGTCATTTAACTCCCACATAAAGCAGACCTCTAGGACTGCCTTCTTCATTTACGTAATATTAGAAAAATTAGACACATACTATCACAGACAGATGCAGAAAAACGAATCCATGCATTTGTTACTTCAAGGCTGGATTACTGCAACTCTTATTATCAGGTTGCCCCAATAAGTCCATTAAAACGCTCCAATTAATTCAGAACGCTGCAGCACGAGTACTGACAGGAACTAGAAAAAGAGATCACATCTCTCCTGTACTAGCTACTCTGCATTGGCTCCCTAAAAATGTAGAATTGAATTTAAAATACCCTCCTCACCTATAAAGCTCTTCATGGTCAGGCCCCTTCATATCTTAAAGAGCTCATAGTACCCTATTACCCCACTAGAACACTACGTTCTCTGAATGCTGGGCTACTTGTGGTTCCTATAGTCTCTAAAAGTAGAACAGGAGCCAGAGCCTTCAGTTACCAAGCCCTCCCTGTGGAACCAGCTTCCAGTTGTGGTTCGGGAGGCAGACACCCTCACCACATTCAAGAGTAGGCTTAAGACATTCCTCTTGATAAAGCTTATAGTTAGGGCTGGATCAGGTGAGTCCTGAACCATCCCTTAGTTATGCTGCTATAGGCCTAGACTATCGGGGGATTTCCCATGGTGCACTGAGCTACTCTCTTCCTCTCTCTTTCTGCACTCATTCATGTCCCTTTAATGCATGTTACTAACTCCACTTCTTCCCCGGAGTTCTTGTGCTTTCCGTCTCGCAGGTTCTCATGGATCCTGGTGGAGCCTCCTGCCATGGTCCTGCTTGACTGCCATTGCCAATACTGTTGTTGCTGTGCACCTGTCTGTCTGTCTGTCGCTCTCTCTCTCTCTCTCTCTCTCTCTCTCTCTCTCTCTCTCACCCCAACTGGTCGAGACAGACGACCACCCACCTAGAGCCGGAGGATCTGTCCTAGGTTTCTGCCTTTTAACAGGCAGTTTTCCTTGCCCTTGTCGCCAAGTGCTTGCTCATGGTGGTACTGTTGGGTCTCTGTAATTAATGTTAAAGAGTTCGGTCTAGACCTGCTCTATTTGAAAAGTGTCCTGAGATAACTTCTGTTATGAATTGGCGCTATACAAATAAAATTGAATTGAATTGAATTGAAATTGAATTGATGGAACAATAGACTAGCTGAGTTTCTAGATTTGGTGGATCTCTCTCAGAGCACTGCCCTCTGCTTGTCAGGGGGACCAACTTCAACCTTTTTCTTCCATAAGTATGGAGGCTACTTATATATAATGAGATGTAATGACAGAAATAATAAGTTAGTAATTAGTAATTAAAGCAGCAAGCCGTGATGAATGGGCCCCTCGCAGTCCACATGCGTTGGGGTGTGCTCTGGCAGTGTCATGTGGCTGTGTATCACACATACACCACGCTGTGCAAAAACGTACGTAAAGCAGATGATCATTAAGACTTACTTTCTGTGGTGCTATGTCTGAATATTGGCATGTAGTGTGTTCAGGACAGGACTCAAACATGTGAAGTTTTGGGCGGATTATTCACTAACGTTACAATGCCTGGAAATGGTAAGAAATTCGCCAAAATTGCACATTAAATTCAAAATGGCTGACTTCCTGTTGGGTCTGGGGTATGGGTCCAAGAGGCTGGATATGATGCTTATGTGCTTACTGATTTCTGTGCGTGTATGTGAAATGTGATGCCGGGGCTGCTTCGCTGAAGTTGTACAAACAAAAAGGCCTTTTTCGTGGCACAATGTTGTTAAAATAACCTCATCGCCATTTATCATGATACATTGTCATGTACATAGCCACACTTTATTAAAAGACGCTTATTTAGCATTTATAAGCACTGTATAAACATAGACAAAAAAATACTTAATAACACACTGCAATGTGTTGTACGCATTGTGATTATTATTGTATTTATTAACAACTATAACTCTAGCTGTAAGTGAATGCTGCTGTATAAACAGATACTGAATGATAATATAGTAAAACATGCTTTTATAATACGTCTTCATGGGAAACATTCCAATGTTTGACAAATACTGTACATTAATAAACACTTAAATATCTGAAGAGTGACCGGTCCAAACATGATCCTCCAGAGTTCAGGAATGAACCTGGACCCTCAGACACAGTAAGAGAACTGATCTCTCTCTCTCTCTCTCTCTCTCTCTCTCTCTCTCTCTCTCTCTCTCTGCCTCTCTCTGCAGAGCGATTGTCAGTCTGTACACAGCGGAAGGGGAACAGTGAAAGGGGGCTGCCCACAAGTTAATGGGTTGCCAAATAAACCATCACATTTCGGGGGCATACAAAATGTTTGCTGCTACTGGCCCGTGGGCCGTACCTTGATAAATTATCTGATGACAAAGTAATTTGAGAAGCTAATCAAAGATTCAAGTGACAGGAATGAAAACATGTTGGTGTTTGCAGAATTCAGTCTAACAGACAGAGAGCAGAATCTCCAGAGTCCAGCTGTCTATGAAAAGTAACCGATCCAAATATGAAACTCCATACTTCAGTAATGAACCTGGACCCTCAGACTCAAAGTAAGACTCATTATATAACAAATGATGTATTTCATTTATTTGACTAATTTTCAATGACAGTGTCATGTTTGTTTATTAGACCGTGTGAAGGCGCTATTGTAATTAAAGGAATTCTCTTTCTTTTTCTTCCTCCCAAACAAACGCATATTTGGAGGCTTTCCCATGCTCAAAAACTCATGAAACATGGCACACGTCAGTTGCCGTATCCCAAACCCAACAGGAAGTTGGCCATTTTGGATTTAGCGGTCATTTCTGGCGATTTGCACACGTTGTATTTGAACTCCTCCTCCTAGGGAATTGATCGGATCGACTTCAGATTTGGACAGGAAGCGTTGCGTAGTGGTTTTTTATCTGATTTACGTGAAATTTTTCATGTTTTGCTTCGCACGCGTTACGCTGGCACGTGACGCGGCCGCAGCACACCCCGAGTTGCGCGGAGGGCGAGGGCCCGTTCATCGCTGCTTGCAGCTTTAATTCTAAACTATATTTGCTGACTAAACTGATTAAACTCTTTATGACCCTGACAAAGAGAAATCCCTCATCCATCTTCCTCTCAGTATCTGTGACAGCTGTCAGTCACTAAAAAAGCTGTAATGTAATCTAAGAGGACTGATACTAACTTTTAAACCGCCTAATTATCACGTTGAAGTCACAGTTAAGATTTGCAACTATTGAAAATCTGAAAGAATCAGTTTCAGATGTATTTGCTAGTTTGGCTCTTCCTCAGATCAGCTGTTCTGATTCTGTGTGTAACGGTTTCAGTTTGCTCTTTAATGAACTACTTCTGTAAAATATATATATAACCTAATACTAAATATACTAAAATTTAAACATTCAATTTCACAACAGACAATAAAATATAAAATATACAATAATATAAAATATACAATACGATACTTATACAATACTTATGGTAGTGCAAAAAGGCAGATGGTAATAGCAGCAGAAAAATTATGTAAGATATATTTGCAACAGTAACATTGCAAAAGAACAGTCAGTAAAAAAAACAGTATAAACAGTATAGTAATAAATAAATAGCAGCCAGTATAAACAGTATGCAGTATACAGTAAACAGTATACAGTAAACAGTATAAACAGTATAGTAATAAATAAATAGCAGCCAGTATAAACAGTATGCAGTATACAGTAAACAGTATACAGTAAACAGTATAAACAGTATAGTAATAAATAAATAGCAGCCAGTATAAACAGTATGCAGTATACAGTAAACAGTAAACAGTATAAACAGTATAGTAATAAATAAATAGCAGCCAGTATAAACAGTATGCAGTATACAGTAAACAGTAAACAGTATAAACAGTATAGTAATAAATAAATAGCAGCCAGTATAAACAGTATGCAGTATGCAGTATACAGTAAACAGTATAAACAGTATAGTAATAAATAAATAGCAGCCAGTATAAACAGTATGCAGTATACAGTAAACAGTAAACAGTATAAACAGTATAGTAATAAATAAATAGCAGCCAGTATAAACAGTATGCAGTATACAGTAAACAGTATAAACAGTATAGTAATAAATAAATAGCAGCCAGTATAAACAGTATGCAGTATACAGTAAACAGTATAAACAGTATACAGTATAAACAGTACAGTAATAAATAAATAGCAGCCAATTTTAATCTATGTGGTATGTGGTGATAGTAATGGTAAAACTAATAATAATAGTAGTGCAGGAGACACTTTGTCCAGTTTCCGGAGTGATTTTTTTTGGGGGGGTTCAGCTTTTTGACAGCCTGGAGGATGTGGCTGGGGAGAGAATCTAGCTTCCTGACAGCTTGGTGGATGAAGCTTTTAGTGAGTATGGTGGAGCGGGCACGGAGGCTCCTATACCTTCTTCCAGACGGCAGGAGGCTGAACAGACTGTGTGCAGGGTGGCTTGCGTCGCTCACCATCGAGGTAGCTTTACGGGTAAGGCGGGTGATGTATATGTCTTGCAGGGAAGGGAGTGGGGCACCAATGATCTTACACACAGAGTGTGAGTGTATCAGTCCGTCCCTAATGGCAGAGGTTAAGAGCTGAAGTCACTACGTCTTTATTGAAGCAGCAGCACGTTGTCATTAATATTAATGAGAGCTCTTTTTCACTCTTTGTATTTTACAGTTTGCAACCTGCATCCTGTTGGGTTCAGGTGTTTGGAGTTTCCATTTTCTAAACTTGTACATTGTAAACCTTCTTCAGCTCTGAACAGATTATTAAACACTGAATCATTTCAAGCAGGAACATTGTCTTCTAAACTCACATCTTTTATTCTTTATTCAGATTGAGGCTCTGCAGTTTGTCAGAGATCAGCTGTTCTTCTCTGGTCTCAGCTCTGAAGTCCAACCCCTCCCATCTGAGAGAGCTGGACCTGAATTACAACGACATCCTGCAGGATTCAGGAGTGAAGCTGCTGTGTGGTTTTTCTGGTATAAATCACACAAATATATACACACATGCTTGTTTGGCCCCTGGACTTCCTGCTTGCAGTGTTCTCAAGGACCACTCATCGGATTGACTTCGCACTTGACACTGCACTCTCTTGGGTGCTCAGCAATACAGTGTGTGGACGATTGGATGAACGGTTCTTGATATGCTAAGGAAAGTCATACACACATACATACATACAGACAGACATTCCTTTCTCATAGTTAGATTAGTTGAGCCTGCTATAGCACCACCTATAGGCCAAATGGCACCAAATTTGTCATGATTACTCAGACATCTTATGTACACCAAATGTGGTTGCACTTCCAAATGTGACATTTGGAAGTGTCATACAATATAAGCCATTCCCACAGCATCTGGGTAAACCTTAAGGGCCAGCTCTAACATTTGACAAAATTCAAAATGGCATAAAATCAACCTTAGTTGTTTAATAAGAAAATAATAAATGGGACATGGATACTTGTGTAAGGACCAACCACAGCCTCTTTTATTTGTTTTCAACCCTGAACTCACAGTACCACTCTGAGGAGAAACACCAAACACACTAGAGAACAATACAAAACACAGGATAGCAGATAGATATTATCATTATTATTATTATTGTTTTCATCATCTCAGGATAATTTTTTTCTGCCAAAAATCTGTTTTCAGACTGGAGCACATCAACAAAAGGTATCTGACCTCTGTCTTGACCTTTATCAATTGGATCATTTGTAATTATGAAATTCGGACCAAAGTCAAAGCAACTGCCTGTAATTATACATGAGTGATTATGAGTATTGCCACTCCAATGAGTAAATCTGTCTCAGTAAAATGTTAAACATGCTTTTTGCAGACTACAATTGGCTCTTGAATTTCCTTCTGCTATTGAACGCAAATCTAAAAAACAACATAGTGAAGGCAACTGTTTCTAAAATTGTTTTAAAGTCAGTATTCTCTGTGCTTAAAAAAGCAAAACAGGAGTAAATATGTTTTTTTTTTAAATTATAACACAAAGCACAGTTCTACATAAAATACTGCGTGCCTGGTAAAAGACAACAGACTAATCTGTTAGATGACTGTTATGACGCACATATGAAATCAGACTATTACATGCTACACGGATTTTGGACAGATTCAGTCCATACATTACAGGGTTGAAGAGTGGTGGACATGTTAGAAAGTATAACGACAAAAAAATGCGCAACACATTTGGTACACTGTTCATATTAAATCTGCTCTGTAATATTTCAAAACAAACTCCAAAAGAAAAGTTCAGCAGGGAGGCGAGGTGAGGAGTGCAGGTACTGACGGCTTTTTGTCTGGTCTGTTTAGAACCAGAAAAACAAACACTGAGAATTTTTATGTAAGTGTAAAGAATTAAAATGAGAGGGCCAAAGACTGAGAACGCACTAACAAACAGTCCGTAGACAGTATTGACTGTGGTGTCGTAGCAGGCCAGTTTCACAATAGAGTGGTTATCACAGTACACTTTGTTAATGATGTTCCCACACAGCTGTAAAGGAACAATCAAAAAGAGTCCAACTAAATTTACAAGAAATATGAGGAACCATATGAGAGCAATTATAATGAAAACTTTGTTAGATGTCATATGTGTGTTATATTGTAAAGGGCAACAGATAGCAAGGTATCTATCAAAAGACATCGCAGCTAAGTTGAAAAATTCTACACCTGCATATGAGTACACACAGAAAATCTGCAGGAAACAAAAGGGAACAGGAACAGTGTGAATGTCAGAGAGAATCTGAACCAGAAGCATTGGAAACAACCCTGTACTACCATACAGTTCATTTACAAACAGGCTGCACAGAAATATGTACATAGGTTCATGTAAGCTTCTGTTCATACAGATAATCACAATGAGCAAAAGATTGGCACAAACAGCAAAAAAATATATACACAGAACACACAGGAAACATAAGTATTGTAACAGCCCGCTGTCCAAGTAGGCAGCAAGTGTGAAATATGAAAACTGTGTAGAGTTTATCATGATCCTCTGTTTCGTTAACTGATCACATGAAACAATAATGTTACTTTTGTTATCCAAAGGGTTGTTAAAATTTACCAGTTTTAAAGCTGTGCTTGTTTGGTACAATGTAAAGCTGACAGATCAAGCACACATGAACATAAATTATTGTAGTAAGACTCAACAAATTCATTCTCACAGCAACAATTTTACCAAATGGACCGTGTCCTTTTCAAAGTCAAAATAATGCTAATAAACTATGTAACAAAGTTTGTGACATTGTGTTAATTTGTGTAATCATCTGCTGTCTTGCTGTCTGCTGAGACATAGTGAGCCCATCGTAACTGAACCGCAACTCTGTTTCTGCTCCTTTTAAGCTTTTCAGGGTAGAAGACACCCACAGCAGCAGTGTAATCTCCTTATGGAAGGCCCCACTGATTGATACTATTGTTTAATTAAAGAAAATTCTGTAGTACACATTGTTTGTTGTAGACTAATTTGTGTGCACTAAATACTGTGTCATTTCCGGTTACTGCCTGCTGCTGTGTACAGTGTTTGCTGCTGTAGCTCTGTCCAGTGAACGCTAAAACGTATTGTTTTACACGTTACAGCGGCTATTTACCCAATTAAAATTTAAATGTAGGCACACGCTAGCTACATTAGCATTAGCAGTTAGCGATGGCTTCTCCCTCTCCCTCTGCTCTGTCTTGCTCAGTGTGTCAGTTATTCCTCTGCCTCCTTTAGCGATAATGGTACCTGTATTAAGTGCAGTTTATTTACTGCGCTGGAGGCGAGGCTCTGTGAATTACACTGTTATGGATATGATACCAAGTTATATTTATCAATTAGCAATTTGGCAATGTTGCCTCAGGGAAGCATATATAAAGCGAATAGAATTGATCCAAGCACAGAACCTTGTGGAACTCCATGACAAACTGTAGTATTTATTGAAGATTCATCGTTGACGTGTACAAACTGAGAACAATCTGATAAGTATGACCTAAACCAGCTTAGTGCGGTTCCTTTAATGACAATTTGATACAGCTCTGGTTAATGTTAATAACGACCTTTTAATTGCTTCTGACAATGGACTTGTCTCTGTACTTGTATTATTAGATCTTAGTGCTGCGTTTGACACCATTGACCATAATATTCTATTGCAGAGCCTTGAGCATCAAATTGACATTAAAGGAACCGCCCTAAGCTGGTTTAGGTCATACTTATCAGATTGTTTGTACACGTCAACGATGAATCTTCAATAAATACTACAGTTAGTCATGGAGTTCCACAAGGTTCTGTACTTGGACCAATACTATTTACTTTATATATGCTCCCTTTAGGCAACATTATTAGGAATTATTCTTTCATTTAAGTAATATTACAAAAATTAGACACATCTTGTCACAGACGGATGAAGAAAAACTAATCCATGCATTTGTTGGGAAGATGGGAGATGGGAAGCCAGTGGAGTGAGTTGAGAATGGGGGTAATGTGCTCATGTTTCCGTACTCTCATCAGGATCCTAGCTGCAGAGTTTTGGATGTACTGAAGCCTCTGCAGACTCTTGCTAGGAATCCCAATGAGAAGTGCGTTACAGTAGTCCAGTCTGGAGGAGACAAAGGCATGCACCAGCTTTTCAGCATCTGAGAGAGACAGAAAGGGGCGGAGTTTTGAAATGTTACGAAGGTGGTAGAAGGAGGTCTTGCATAGGTGATTTATATGGGCTACAAAAGTGAATTGAATTGAATTGAATTGAATTGTTTGAGATGCACAGAGAAAGCATCTGGGTTCAAGGGATGGCAATGGCAATTATATTGAGGTCACAATTTACTACATCAGTGGCTCCTAATTCTACTGTATTCATAGTACACATTTTGGATTATTTAGTGGCCACAAGACCTCTCCGGGAACCATCACCTTACTGTGGTGGAGAGGTTTGGGTGCTTCTATGAAACTGAGAGCTGTGTTGTCGGGAGCAATATGCTCCTGGTAGGGTCTCCCAAGGCAAAGTGGTCAGACTAAGAATGGTTCACAGAAGACCCCATGGAAGTACGTGGAAGATGTCAAGAGACCCGGCCCGGAGGAAGCCCGGGGCCCCCGTCTGGAACTGGTGCGGGAGGTGGAGCGCTATCAATTAGATCTGGTGGGGCTTACTTCTACGCTCCCTATGCCTACGATCGGGGGGGGCTCCAGTAGGGGATTCCATCGTTCTCCTGGGAGACTTCAACGCACATATGGGCAATGATGGAGACACTTGGAGGGGTGTGACTGGGAGGAACAGCCTCCCCGATTTGAACCCGAGCGGTGTGTTGTTACTGGACTTCTGTGCTAGTCATGGGTTGTCCATAACAAACACCATGTTCGTACATAGGGATGCTCATAAGTGTACGTGGTACCAGAGCACCCTAGGCCAAAGGTCTATGATCGATTTTGTGATCGTATCATCAGACTTGAGGGTGCATGTATTGGACACTCGGGTAAAGAGAGGGGCGGAGCTGTCAACTGATCACCATCTGGTGGTGAGTTGGGTTAGGTGGCGGGGGAAGTGGTTGGTGTTCAAAGCTTCTATTGCTGAAGCTGCGGCTGTGAGCTGTGGTCTTAAGGCCTTGGGTGCCTCAAGGGGTGGTAACCCTCGAACGTGGTGGTGGACACCAGTGGTCAGGGAAGCCGTCAGACTGAAGAAGGAGGCCTTCCAGGATATGTTATCCCAGGGGACTCCTGAGGCAGTTGCAGGGTAGCGACAGGCCGCAGCTGTGAGGGATGCAAAACAGCGGGTGTGGGAGAAGTTCGGAGAAGTCATGGAGAAGGACTTTCAGACGGCACCCAGGCACTTCTGGAAAACCACCCGACACCTCAGGAGGGGGAAGCAGGGAAGCATTCAAGCTGTGTACAGCAGGGATGGGACACTGCTGACCTCAACTGAGGAGGTAATTGGGCGGTGGAAGGAACACTTTGGGGAACTCCTGAACCCAACTAGACCAACAAACCCGCCCTCTGTGATAGAGGCAGGGCTGGAGTGTGATGGTGGATCTACATCAATTTCCCTACGGGAGGTCACTGAGGTAGTCAAACAACTCCACAGTGGCAAAGCCCCGGGGATTGATGAGATTCGCCCAGAAATGCTGAAGGCTCTGGGTGTTGAGGGGCTGTTTTGGTTGACACGCCTTTTCAACATTCAAGTCAGGGAAAGCGCCGAAGGAGTGGTGGACTGGGGTGGTGGTTCCCCTATTTAAAAAGGGGGACCAGAGGGTGTGTGCAAACTACAGAGGCATCACACTACTCAGCCTCCCTGGGAAAGTTGACTCTAAGGTGCTGGAAAGGAGGGTCCGGTTGATTGTCTAACCTTTGATTGAAGACGAACAGTGCAGGTGTACTGGAAGGGGCCTGGGAATATGCCCATCTGGTCTACATGTGTTTTGTGGATTTGGAGAAGGCATATGACCGGGTTCCCCAGGATATCCTGTGGGAAGTGCTGCGGGAGTATGGGGTGAGGGGGTCACTTCTCAGGGCTATCCAATGCCTGTATTTCCAAAGCACGAGTTGTGTCCGGATTCTTGGTCGTAAGTCGGACTCGTTTCCAGTGGGTGTTGGCCTCCGCCAGGGCTGCGCTTTGTCACCAATCCTGTTTGTGACTTTCATGGACAGGATATCGAGGCGTAGTTGTGAGGGGGTTGCCGTTCTGTGGGCTGAGTATTACATCGTTGCTTTTTGCGGATGATGTAGTCCTGATGGCATCATCGGCCTGTGACCTTCAGCACTCACTGGATTGGTTCGCAGCTGTGTGTCAAGCAGCTGGGATGAGGATCAGCACCTCTAAATCGGAGGCCATGGTTCTCAGCAGGAAACCGGTGGATTGTCTACTCTGGGTAGGGAGTGAGTCCTTACCCCAAGTGAAGGAGTTCAAGTACCTCAGGGTTTTGTTCACGAGTGAGGGTAGAATGGAGCAGGACATTGGCCAGAGAATCGGGGCAGCAGGGGCAGTATTGCGGTCCCTTAATCAAACAGTTGTCACCAAAAGAGAGTTGAGCCGAAAGGCGAAGCTCTCGATCTACCGGTCGATCTTTGTTCCTACCATCACCTATGGTCATGATCGAAATAACAAGATCGTGGGTACAAGCGGCCGAAATGGGTTTCCTCAGGAGGGTGGCCGTCGTCTCCCTTAGGGATAGGGTGAGAAGACAGCTGAGATGGTTCGGGCATCTGGTGAGGATGCCTCCAGGGCGCCTCCCGAGGGAGGTGTTCCTGGGGGGAGAAGGCGGGGGGAGACCGAGGACCAGGTGGTTTCTCCACGGCCTGGGTAGGCAGTCAGAGTTGGCCGATGTGCGGGAAGTTTGGGGTCCTCTGCTGCCAATCCCGGATAAGCGGATGAAGATGAATGAATGAAAAATGGCCACAAGATACAGTTTGTTCACAACTTCATGTTCAGATTCTTCCTAAACTGTCTTGAAAAAGTGCACGTGTTTTCTTTCACAATGAGGTCACTGCTGCGGGTGTCTTTAAAAGAAGTTGAGGCAGAGTTTGAGCTCAGTTAAGATGGAATCACCGAATGGCTACAGCAGGAGAACAAGTCAGTGCTCAGACATTTTATTAATAACTTCTAACCTCAGCATTATCTTGACTTTGAGGGTGTTTGAAACTGTTTCCTTGATAATGAATCTGTTTAGGATTTATGTGTACTCGATATTAAAGTTGCACATTATGCCAACCCAGTCTTAGTTTAAACAAATGTATAACAAAAGGTAACATAACTATTCTTTGGTGTGCATGTTAGAATTTGTATGAACCAAATTGAGGATGATAAACTCCACACAGGTTTCTTATTTCACACTTGCTGCCTATTTTGACACTGGGAATTTTAAATACTTATATTTCCTGGTAATTATATCTTTATATGTTTTCATTGTTTGTGCCAATCTTTTGCTCATTGTGATTATCTGTATGAACAGAAGCTTACATGAACCTATGTACATATTTCTGTGCAGCCTGTTTGTAAATGAACTGTATGGTAGTACAGGGTTGTTTCCAATGCTTTTGGTTCAGATTCTCTCTGACATTCACACTGTTTCTACTTCATTTTGTTTCCTGCAGATTTTCTGTGTACACTCTTATGGAGCTGTAGAATATTTAAACTTAGCCATTATGTCTTATGACAGATACCTCGCTATCTGTTGTCCTCTACAATATAACACACGTATGACAACTAATAAGATTGCTGTGCTCATTGCTCTAACATGGTTATACCCTTGTTTTGCAATGGTTGTTTTGTTATCTTTGACTACTCCTTTACAGCTGTGTGGGAACATCATTAACAAAGTTTACTGCGATACCCACTCTGTTGTCAAACTGGCATGCTCTGACACCAGTATAATTAACTTATATGGTCTCATTGCCACTTTTGGCATTATCTTTGGTGCTTTGACTTTTATCATGTTCACTTATATGAAGATTCTTCTAGTTTGTTTTTCTGGTTCACAACAGACCAGACAAAAAGCTGTCAGTACCTGCACTCCTCACCTCGCCTCCATCTTGAACTTTTCTTTTGGGGCTAGTTTTGAAGTATTACAGAGCAGGTTTAATATGAAAAATGTACCCAATATTTTGCGCATTCTTTTATCATTATACTTTCTTACATGCCAGCCGCTCTTCAACCCTGTAATGTACGGACTGAAAATGTCCAAAATCCGTGGCACTTGTAAAAGTCTGCTTTCAAAAGCAGATTGTTAAGTTGTGTCACAGGTTTTCTTATTTGTGCTTCTGCGTTTCCTCGAATATAATGTTCACAAAACTCCTGATAAAGCTGTACAACAGTTTTAAACTGTGAACCATGTTGTGTCAGATGTATAATTACACGTATATACATATATTTTTATTTATACTATATTACAATATATATTACATATTTGATAAACAAGTGAGTATACTATGAGGCCTTCGGCTTTGTATGTCTAGACTAACATTTTCTGCATATTTGCACAAATCACTGTTAAGCTATTATAATTTGTATGTAAACTGTACGTAGCTTTTGAGTCTCATCTAATAAACTTATTTATTGTATTTTTATTTGTTTCACCTCACTTCAAACACTTTTTGTCTGTTTCCCATATCTTCTTGCTTCTCGTGCTGCTGTAACATTTAAATTTATAATGCTCTAGAATAGAGAATGTCTTTTCTTATTTGTAATACATTGCCAGCGTGACACTCCTACAGTTAAACATAATTACAGACTGTAGTTTTCTAAACTTAACAAAAGTAAATATCTCAGGGTAATGAGATTATACTACGTGTTGGGGTAGGGGTCAAATAAGGTAAAGGCACAGTTCACATCACAAGAGCCATTTTGTCTCTTTTCATCAAAGGATTTTCTAAATCAACCACCTTCTTGTAAAGGTTGGTCTTGTGATATTTGCACACATCCAGAAACCTGTTGATATCCAAGTCTTTCAAAATATTTCACAGTAGGTGGGTTTCTCCTTCCAGAGAGAAATGTGGGCTTTTCTTTTGGAATGCAAACTGTTGGCTAGTTGGTTTGTTAGAGCTACACAGAGCTGACCATAAACGGGCAAACTGCTGTGAAAACCCCAAATGAGACACATATTACCAATGTGGTGTATACAAGAATACTCCTAAAACTTATATTGGCATATCCCAAATGTCTTAATCTGAAAATGCTCCATCCAGAATCAAGGCAAATTAAGAATATCCAAACAGAATATGCTGTTTACACCACCCTTATGTGGAATATTGTCGTATTCGGAATAATAGTGGAAAATCAATGTGCATGTAAACATATTCAGTGTATAAAATGTATTACTAAGCAACGAAACCACCCACCCATCCAAGTTAGACTGCTCTTTGTGGAGTTTGATTTCAATATGTAACATAATTTGGCATCCTCTTGAACCCTAACTGAAAATTTAGAAGATGGAACTAAACTCTGGGCAGGTTACAGAATATAATGATATAATTAAACAATTTCAGAAGTTAGAATTACAACTAAACGTACCACAAGGCTGTGTGAGTCCGCTGGCCAATATTCATTTTGTATTCTGAAAATGGTGTTGTGAAGTTAATACTTATCCTGACTCTGACAGTAACGTGTGTGCATGTGAGGTATTTTGTCCACAAGGGTTGACAAACAAATCAGTAGTTTCACATTAAAAAGACATTGTCAGTGGTGTTTGTGATCAGTTTGAAATGATGAATCACACGCCATGATTGGATGATTTTCTTGCAAGTTTGCAAAGACTGTAACTTCCAAGACTTCATAAAGATTTCATTCAGAATGGATGTTTTTCATGCAGTGTATGTGTTGGAAGTTTGAGCTGCTCCCTGATGTCCATTTATAAGTGGTTCAACTGGGCCAACACCTGATTGTGACTTAGGTGAGTGGAGTCCACTTAGTTGTGATATAAGCAGTGAGTTATAAAATAACCAATATAAAGTTTTGTTGTGTAAAAAAATATTTATTAATTATATTAAACTTCAACAATTCAACATTTTACGTGCCACAAAATGGAACATAGCACAGGCTAAAAACTGATGGACTTTCATCTTTATCTCTTTTTCTTTCAGGACGCCTCCTGAGCAATGGCAGCAAGTTCTTGTAAAAAACTTAATCAACATCTGTTGGAGGTGGGGTTGGGAGTGTGGATGGGGCCTGGAGTTTTCCTCTTCCAGGGCAAGTAAGAGTCTCTTTTTAAATGGACTCTGAAGTGCACTGGTGGAGGTTTCTACTCACTGTCTCTTGGAAGACGACTAATGGATGGGATGGTGCTGGCTGGATGATGGTGGCTGTGCTGCAGGGAGGGGCTGGTGGCTAGTAGGTGCTGCCTGTATTACTGGAGTGACTGGGACTCTCCTGACAACATTGGAGGTTGTTTCTCTGTTTTCAAGAGTAGGGAACTCTATCACTGCCATGATGTTCCAATATTCTCTGTATGCAGATGATACCCAGTTATATCTATCGTTCAAAACTGATGAAATTAATCAGTTATCTAAATTACAAACATGTCTTAAGGACATAAAAACATGGATGAGCTGATATTTTCTGATGTTAAACTCGAAAAAAAAAAACGAAATTCACCTCCCGAACCACAACTGGAAGCTAGTTCCACAGGAGAGGAGCTTGGTAACTGAAGGCTCTGGCTCCTGTTCTACTTTTAGAGACTATAGGAACCACAAGTAGCCCAGCATTCAGAGAACATAGTGTTCTAGAGGGGTAATAGGGTACTATGAGCTCTTTAAGATATGAAGGGGCCTGACCATGAAGAGCTTTATAGGTGAGGAGGAGGATTTTAAATTGTATTCTACATTTTACAGGTAGCCAATGCAGAGAAGCTAGTACAGGAGAGATGTGATCTCCTTTTCTAGTTCCTGTCAGTACTCGTTCTGCAGCATTCTGAATTAATTGTTTTAATGGACTTATTGGGGCAACCTGATAATAAAGAGTTGCAGTAATCCAGCCTTGAAGTAACAAATGCATGGATTAGTTTTTCTGCATCTGTCTGTGATAGTATGTGTCTAATTTTTGTATTATTACATAAATGAAAGAAGGCAGTCCTAGAGGTCTGCTTTATGTGGGAGTTAAATGACAAATCCTTATCAAAGATAACTCCAAGATTCCTGACAGTGGTGCTAGAGGCCAAGTTAATGCCATCTAGAGTAACTATATCTTTAGACAGTGAGTCTCTAAGGTTTTTGGGGCTAAGAACAAGAATTTCGTTTTTTTCTGAGTTTAACATAAAAAAATTGCAGGTCATCCAGGATTTTATGTCCTTAAGACATGTTTGTAATTTAGATAATTGATTAATTTCATCGGGCTTGATTGATAGATATAACTGCGTATCATCTGCATAACAGTGAAAGTTAATGGAGTGATTCCTAATAATGTTGCCTAAAGGGAGCATATATAAAGTAAATAGTATTGGTCCAAGTACAGAACCTTGTGGAACTCCATGACTAACTGTAGTATTTATTGAAGATTCATCGTTAACGTCTACAAACTGCAAGCGATCTGATAAATATGACTTAAACCAGCTTAGTGCGGTTCCTTTAATGCCAATTTGATGCTCAAGTCTCTGTAAAAGAATATTATGGTCAATGGTGTCAAATGCAGCACTAAGATCTAATAATACAAGTACAGAGACAAGTCCATTGTCAGAAGCAATCAGAAGGTCATTATTAACTTTAACCAGAGCTGTCTCTGTGCTGTGATGAACTCTAAATCCTGACTGAAAATCCTCAAATAAACTATTGTTATATAGAAAGTCACACAACTCTTTGGCGACTACTTTCTCCAGAATCTTAGAGAGGAAGGGGAGGTTAGAAATCGGTCTATAGTTGGCTAAAACCCCTGGGTCAAGAGTGGGCTTTTTAAGAAGGGGTTTAATTACAGCTACTTTAAAGGACTGTGGTACATATCCTGATAATAAAGAAAGATTAATCATATCCAGTAAAGAACTGCCAATTAAGGGAACAACTTCTTTAAGCAGCCTAGTTGGGATCGGGTCTAATAGACAGGTTGAGGGCTTCGATGAAGAAATGATTGAAGTTAACTGATGAAGATCGATAGCAGAAAAACAGTCTAAATATATATCTAAGTTTACATTGGCAGAAGTCCCTGAACTTGGAGAGCCACTGATAACTGTTGATGGCAGTTGGTGATTAATTTTCTCTCTAATAGTAATAATTTTATTATAGAAGAAGCTCATGAAGTCATTGCTACTTAAGTTTATGGGGATATGTGGCTCAATAGAGCTGTGACTCTCTGTCAGCCTGGCTACAGTGCTGAAGAGGAACCTAGGGTTATTCTTTTTTCTTCTATTAGTGCTGAGTAATAGGCTCCTCTGGCATTACGGAGGGCCTTTCTATAAGTTTTAAGATTATCTTGCCAATTTGAGCGATATTCTGATCATTTAGAAGAGCGCCATTTCCTTTCAGATTTCCTAGCTATTTGTTTTAACTGGCGGGTTTGGTGGTTGTACCAAGGTGCTAGTCTCCTATGTTTTAATAATTTCCTTTTTATAGGAACGATAGAGTCTAATGTTGATCGTAGTGAGCCTGTAGCACTATCGACAAGATTATCAATTTCAGAGGGACTAAAGTCGTTGTAGGACTCTGTTAAATTCAGCCATGGCATTGAATTAAACACTGAAGGAATCTCCTCCTTAAATTTAGCTACAGCACTGTCAGATAGACATCTGCTGAAGAAAGTTTTGCCTAATGGCTTATAATCTAATAATATTTGATAAAGCTTATAGTTAGGGCTGGATCAGATGAGTCCTGAACCATCCCTTAGTTATGCTGCTATAGGCCTAGACTATCGGGGGATGACCCAGAGGGAATACCACAAGTGTACCTTTTTTTGCTTCAGTGAACTTGGCTGCACTCGCACATCCCGGACAGCAGCGTTGAGGTTCCCGGTTACAGTTTGGTACGTGGAGACAGAGACTGTTACAAAACAGAAGAAGAAGGGTGGCGGGCTTGCACTGTATGTGAGTGAGAGGTGGTGCAATCCTGGACATGTCAGTGTGAAGGAACGTCTCTGTACCCCGGACATTGAAATGCTGGCTGTGGGAATGCGCCCGTATTATTTGCCTAGGGAGTTCACGTCCACCATTGTTATCGCTGTCTACATCCCCCCGTCAGCTGATGCAGTGGTGGCCTGTGAAGTCATCAGCTCCACCACCGCTAAACTGCAGACCGAACATGCGGATGCGTTCATGGTTATTACAGGTGATTTTAATAATGCCTCACTGAACAACACTTTAAATAACTTCCATCAATATGTTGACTGCCCAACCAGAGACAATAAAACATTGGATTTATTATATGTTAATGCCATGGACGCATTTGACGCCACAGCCCTCCCCCCTCGGCAGGTCAGACCACAACCTGGTCATGATGACTCCCAAGTATGTCCCTCTTGTGAGAAGGCAGCCTGTGCACACCAGGACAGTGGACACAGGAGACCGCTGAGGCATTGCAGGACTGCTTCGAGTCGACAGACTGGGATGTACTCACATGGGGAGGACATGAATAAGATGACACTGCATTACAGATTATATTAGATTCTGCAAGGACACCACTATGCCACCCCAGACTGTTCACTGCTTCTCCAATAACAAGGCCTGGATTACCAGTGACCTGAAGGCACTCCTGAGCAAGAAGAAGGCGGCTTTCAGGTCGGGAGACAGAGAGGAGCAGAGGAGAGTGCAGCACGAACTCCGAGAGATGCTGAGGACGTGCAAAGACAACTACAGGAGAAAGCTGGAGGCCAAACTCCAACAGAACAGTGTGAGGGATGTGTGGGCGGGCATGAAGCACATCACAGGGATGAAGGGGAAAGACATCTGGGAGCCTGGATAGAGCTAACCAGTATAATCAGTTTTTCAACAGGTTTAGCTCACCTCCTGCTACCCCTCTGACACCCCCAGCCCCCCACACACTCACACTGTCCCAAATGGCTCGACCCTCCCCCCAGCATTCTCCTGTACAACACCTCTCCATCTGCCCCCCCTCCTCTTCCTCCACTGATGACATCTGCACCAACCCCCACCCAACGGTGACTACAGGCCAGGTAACGAGGCAGCTGGAAAAACTGCATCAGCGAAAGGCTGCAGGCCCTGATGGCATCTCACCCAGGATCCTGAAGACCTGTGCCAGCCAGCTGTCCCCTGTACTGGGACATCTGTACAACCTCAGCCTGAGTCAGGAGAAAGTCCCGTTGCTGTGGAAGACCTCCTGCTTGGTCCCAGTCCCCAAGAAGTCGAGGCCATCCGACCCGGCAGACTACAGGCCAGTCGCCTTAACATCGCATGTGATGAACATCCTGGAGAGACTGGTCTTAGCCCAGCTGAGGCCACAGGTGAAGACGTTTCTGGATCCTTTGCAATTTGCCTATCAGCCCCATTTAGGAGTCGATGATGCTGTCATCTACCTGCTGCAACGAGCCCATGTGCATCTGGATGGTGGGGGAGGCACTGTGAGGATCACATTCTTTGATTTCTCCAGTGCTTTCAACACCATTCAGCCTCTGCTAATGGGTGAGAAGCTGTGGGTGGTGGGTGTTGACGACACTATGATCTCCTGGATTACTGACTACTTGACAGGCAGGCCACAGTTTGTCCGTCTGGGCAGTGTCCTGTCTGACGTGGTTGTCAGCGATACAGGAGCTCCACAGGGAACTGTGCTTTCTCCCTTCCTATTCACCTTATACACCACTGACTTCCAGTACAACTCTGAGTCATGTCACCTGCAGAAGTTTTCTGACGGCTCAGCTGTTGTCGGGTGTACAAGGGAGGGAGATGAGGGTGAGTACAGGCTACTGGCAGACAACTTTGTAGAGTGGTCCGAACAGAATCACCTGAGGCTGAATGTCAACAAGACCAGAGAGATGGTGATCGACTTCGGTAGGAGGAAGAGGACGCCTTCACAGCCACTACGGATCAGGGGGGAGGTGGTGGAGGAGGTGGAGGACTACAAATACTTGGGAGTGGTGATCGACAACAGACTGGACTGGAAATCTAACACAGAGGCTGTGTACCAGAAGGGGATGAGCAGACTGTATTTCCTGAGGAAGCTGAGATCCTTCAACGTGTGCAGCAAGATGTTGGAGATCTTCTACCAGTCGGTTGTTGCCAGCGCCATTTTCTTTGCTGCTGTGTGTTGGGGCAGCAGCATCAGAGCCAGCGACACCAACAGACTTGATAAAATCATCAATAAGGCTGGCTCTGTACTTGGTCTCGTCCGTGGTCTCCATCACACAGTGGTCAGACAGCGGAGCACCTTCTCTCACAGGCTGCTCCAGCTCCGCTGTCGAAGGGACAGATACAGGAAATCTTTCCTGCCACATGCCATTACACTGTACAATAACAGCTAAAACTCTGGTCATAATAATACAGTCTCCAATATATAAAATTATAAGTTTTATCTGTTCACTGCACCTTATATTTTTACTTTGCACTACAATTAGACCGCTTATTTATACATTTTTTATATTGCATTTTATATTGCTTTTTTTTTGTATGTCTGTGTGTTGTTACTGTGTGTAATGCTGCTGGTACACTGCAATTTCCCAGCTTGGGATCAATAAAGTATATCTATCTATCTATCTATCTATCTATCTATCTATCTATCTATATTATATTATATATACTGTCAGTGGTTTAGACCAAGGTACTTTGTGATCCAAGCTAACAGAGTTGTCAGTCTTATTGTTCTATTCAAATTAATTTAATTAAATTTTATTTGTAAAGCGCCAAATCATAACTATCTCAGGACACTTTTCAAATATAGCAGGTCTAGACAGAACTCCTTATAACATGAGCAAGCACTTGGCGATGGCGGCAAGGAAAAACTTCCTTTTAAGAGGATGATGATCTATGATTGTATTCTGTTTCAGTGTGAAAAAATAAACATTTATGTAGATTTTCATGATTTTTCATGGACATTAAACAGGGAAAAACTCTGCAGCAGTTGCCGCTCAGTCTATATTGAGCATTAAGAGACTGGTTTGTGTTCTTGTATTGTGTTAGAGATGGTACTCTTCAGGGGAAAGAGAAATTATTGATGAATTGATTGAATTGATTAGTATTTATTTGGATAAAACATGCTAAATAAAACCTTTATTGGCCCTTAAAACCCTAAATATCTGAGTTTCCTGTAAGTGCCATTCTCTTCACTTTCTAATCTCCAAGTAAAACATTTTTTTGGTGGCTGCTGCCAAACTCCTGTGGGAGACACTACCAAACTAAACATTGCTGTCTTTCCTGTGGAGCATAAACCCCAGAAGCAAAGGACTTAAGCTTCTCTGTTCAGTAACCATCGCGACAGAAAGTGACCTCCCATGATTCCCTGTGTGCTAATTGGCCTGTTAGTGAAGCTGGTTAGAGCCTCCAGAGTGTCCAAGTGTCCACACAGACGCCTCTGGGGTCTGGCCTTGTTGTGTTACAGATGGAAATAGTTGCTGTTGATGAAGAGAGGAGCTCCACCGGGGCTCGTTACTGTGAACTGATACAGTAAACATGACGAAATCACACTGCCCACTCTCTAGGACAATTAAACATGTTAAAATATTAAGTTATCACTGAAATCTGTAATCTGTAATATTTCCTTATTAGACAGCGTATAAGCTCTAGAACAATGTTCTATATGGAGTCGATTCAATCAATAATCAATAATCAGAAGCTGTCATACATTGACTGTGAAGCCACATTGTTACCATCCACTCTTTAGATCTTGGTGCTTTTTAACTCTAGATTTGAACCGGATGAAGCTAACGAGCTAACGTTAGCAGCAGCTCGGCTCGCAGCCCCTCCGGGACGTCCATTGTCTGTCCAACAGCGTGGGAGAAGCAGTGATTGTTAAGGTGGAACTGCTTTATTCAGTGTGTTTAAGGTGGAACTGCTTTATTCAGTGTGTTTAAGGTGGAACTGCTTTATTCAGTGTGTTTAGTGGTTTTAATCAGCGGGTCTGTTTGTGTTGGAGAGGAGGAGACCTCTGTGGATCATTGGGCTCCCGGTAGAAACCTCCTGAACCATGAACACTGAAGGAATCCTAACCAGGAGAAGCTGACTGCAATGACGCCAATGGTGGTGAAGACAACAATTCCCATGATCCCACGCTGCTTCACCACCTCATCAAACTTCCTCTTCTGTTATGGAACTAAAAC